TCCTTCATTTGACTACTTACTTTGTGTATTGAGCATATATCACTGTTACAGTGTGTGTGAGGTTTTTTTTTTTTTATTTAAAAATGCCTCAAATTGGGACTAGCTAAGAAAGATATCAAACTCTGAAACACAGATAGGTTTAAACCCTCTTTTCCATCCAGTGATGGGTGTCCTTTGCATGCCCCTTGTGAGTTTTATACTCTGGAAGTACACACATGTTTTAGAACTCAGGTTGGGGAAAATGCTTTACATGGAGAATACAACTCTACCTGTATAAGAAGTACTTTTCTATCTACCCTTTCCTCTTGTTTGTTGTTGTTTTAACAATAAAATAGGTTTAAACTCTTGTTTTAAACTTTAAACTTAAGGACCTCTTGGGACCATGTGTTGTTTGGTTTTAGCTTCTAGATTTTTTAAAAGATAAAGATATTCTTTGGAAGTGTTCAAACGTGAGCAGTTATACCTTTAATTTTTATGTCACTTCATTAGTTGCATCTGTTGGTTGCTGTAAAATATAGACATTCAGTGACTGAGTGTTCTGGGCCATTTTTCTCCTGTGATTTGTAGCTTTACGTGTATTTTTTTCTTGCATGAAGTTATTTCCAAAATGTCCACAGAAGATACTGAATGTCAGTAGACTTACCAGTAGCTTCGAGGCTATGGCATCACTGGCCCAGTAAGTCCAGTAGCATAGTCATCCACTCAGCAAGGCACAGGGAGAAAAGGCTCTCAGGTGCAGTTTTCATACATGAGGCCACTGCCAGGGAGACTGGCTTCTCAGGCAGCTGTTGTGCCATCACCACCTGAGGACAGAGAGCTGGACCAGTATCTAGTCTATGGTTTGTGGCTGCAGAAATGAAATCTTGTCAGCACATACAGTGCATACATCAAGTTTTCCAGCCAACATCCCAGCACAGTTGGTGCTTTTAAGAACGATAGCCGCACCAGTAACGTTCGGTAGTGAGTCTTCTCAACCTCCATAGGATGGAGGCACCATAGGGTATGTAGCAGCTGCAGAGGGGGAGGGAAGGTGATAGGAGGTCTACTTCAGTAAACATCTTGAGCCCAATCTATTATTGTCTCTGATCATTAGAAGAGTTGAGGCCTCCATTTTTAGGGCCCTTTATCTATTTCACAGTAGTGGACAAGTGCTAGCAAATTCTCCCCAACTCCCATCTTTCCGTGTTACAAGACCTTTAAGCTATATCTATCATTCAGGCTGTAATCTTCCTGTGTTGGATGTTCTGCCTGTAAGACACAGCTGTCTGTGGTCATTTATTATAACTTTTTTTGTAAAATGAGGAAATTTATATTTTCTAAAATTATAAGCCTGTGCCTTTTGACCGATACCTTTTAAACTAGTAGTTCTCAGAATAGCCTTTGTCAAGTTTTGAGCGATAGGCTATATTTGATATAAACAAATACTATAATTTGGTTTGGTTTGGTTTTTGGAGACAGGATCTCACTATGTAAAGTTCAGGCTGGCCTTGCTCTCACTGTGCAGACCAGGCTGGCCTCGAACTCCCAGCATTGCTCCTGCCTCACTCTTCCAAATACTAGGGTTACATGTTATATCACTACACCTGATTGTTTTGCCTTAAAATGGGTTCTTGCTGTGTTGCTCAGGCTGGCTTCACCCTCAAGTAGGTGGGATTATGAGCATGACCATGCACCACCATGCCTAGCTTATAATTACATTTTAAAATTGACCGCAAGTGGCAATGTGTTCTCTGTGTGTGTTATTCTGTGCTCCCCCCCACTTTCCATCTCTCCTCTTCTCTCCCCTTCCCCTTCTCATCTTGGGGATTGAACTGGGATCTCATACATGCTAGGCAAGTGCATGTACCCGAGTCTTGTTAGGACATTGTACCTCACAATCAGTATAATGTGTTCATTACTGTTTATTTAGTGTGGATGAAAAGGGAAAAGGGTGGGTCGCCAAAAGACCAACCACATGGCCAGGTACTTGCAAGTTTGCCTTCCTCTACTCATGTTCCTCTCAGTCTTTAAAACCTGATCTTCCACTCACTGGTGCTGCTGCTGTTTGCCACAGGTTTGCATTCCATACAACATCCTGTACAGTCACCTACGGACAATGTATTATGCTATACACAATTTGATGTGCCTGGAAACTGCTAGCCACAACTGTTTTTTTTTAAATAATACATGCAGTGTGATGTTCTTTTTGCTTGGGAAGTTGTATGGGCAATTTTGAGAGCATTAATTGGGAAGATTCAAATAGAATGGCATAACTAGGGTTGTTTATCCACATAGAAAATGCAAATGGTTTTTTTTTTAACAGTCAGTGATTAGTGTCTATGACATTATGATCAAAGAGGAAATGTAAACTGTGTCTTTGTCTCTGGTTGCTAGCGTGGAGCTCCTAAAACTCAATTTCCTGGGTAACAAATGTAATAGGAGCATCTTTTGTTATATTTTATCTTAGTTCCTGACATGAGAGCTTCTAAGATTCTTGGAATCTCCAGAGTAACAAGAATGTTTTGGGTATGCTAAAAGATGCCAGGTAGTTGGAGGTCCCTAGATGTCTTCAGAGTGGAGGCAAGGTCAAAAAAGGATGGTATGACTAGGGAGGTCATGTGAATTCTGTGCCCCTTCCCCTACCTTGCCCTGTGCATCTCTTCCATTTTGTTGTTGTTGAATTATAATTCTTGAACCTTTGGAGTCTCTTATGAGAAACCCCCCAAATTTGTAACATGAGGGGCCTAGACGGTTGTCTGAAGTGGGGGCAGTCTTCTGAGTCTGACCCTAACCACATGTACTTAGTGACACAGTTGGAAAGTGGGTTGATAGAAGTTAGAGTGAGGTATGTTCTCACGGTAGCAGATACGTCTCACACCAGCATAAGTGATTTCTAGTCATTATGTGTGACCACCTTAAGTGTCATCAAGCATAAACTTCAGCATTCATAGAACAATGTTAGAGAAGGCAGGCACACACACGGTTGTTGTCACACCCATAAGTCTGTTCCTTATTTTTGCTCTTGGTAAAGTACAGGGAACATACTATTCTCAATAAACTATTTGTAATCTAGGAGAAGATCTTTGTTAGCACACAGCTAACTGAAAACCTCACATTTTCAAGTCAGAAACATGCATATGTTCTTTTTAAACTTGTTTAACTTTTTTGTTTTGGCAGTAGAATCTTATATCAATTACTTCAGTTCTAAATGAGATAACAGGGAAGATTTGTGATCCTGTGGCCCCAAAACAAACAAAAGCCAGAAATCACATTTCTGTATTTGGTAAAGGATGACATTCACATCTAGTGAAGATAAGAAAATATTTGTAAAAGCCATTTTCAGTTTAGGCTCTTTTTAAAATGTATCTCAGTTAGAGCTCTGCTCTACAGTCAGCATGAGGCCACACATAGCAGGGCGGTCAGGGCCATGGTTCCTGCACCATCCTGGTCTACTGCAAGCAGAAAACCTGGCCACATGGATTGTACTCTGAGATGGCCTTGGTTCCCCCATAACCTCCCCTAGGAAATTCAGTCTTCTCTCCCTGCCGCTTATAAACACAGATAGGCTTTGGGGAATGTTTGTTTGTTTGTTTGTTTGTTTGTTTTTTAATGTCATCAATCCTTAATCATCCTAACTTGATTTCCCTCCATGGGTTTGAAACAAATGAAAGTGGAATCTTAAAATTGAATGTAAGACTAACCAGGAAAAAAAAAATTTTTAACATCACTTCATGTATTCTCCTTTTTAAAAATAGGCTCATTTTCCATACAAAAATATACAGATGCTATAAAAGGAATGTGCTTAAGAGTTCGAGAAAAGAAGTTCTGATTAGATTTGGCAAACTGAATGTCCATGTCTCATTACCTAATGTATTATCTTGTTCTCTACCAGCTCTAACAATTTACTTTCTTTTTTTTTAAATAATAAGTTGTCCGATTTCTGGCTTTCTATGAGCTTTTAGAATAAAATGTATAATGTTTATACATAGATTGCTAAATTTAAATTCTCAATTTAGAAATTTCCCTTTGGATCATCACTGATATTTTATATTCCTGATTTTTATGAATTTATGCTTCATTAAAGCTGCTTAAAACTTACTCCTGATGGAAACTAGGTGTGATGGCACACACCTATAATAGCACTGTGAGAGGCTGAGGCAGAAAGAGTCCAAGTTCAAGCCCACCTTGGGCAATTTAGACTTTGTCTGAAAAATAAAAATGGGGCCGGGCGTGGTGGCTCATGCCTGTAATCCCAGCACTTGGGAGGCTGAGACAGGAGGATCATTATGAGTTCGAGACCAGCCTGGACTACATAGTGAGTTCCAGGTCAGTCTCAAATACATAGTGAGACCCTGTCTCAAAAAACCATAAATGAATGAATGAATGAATGAATGGGCTGGGGATATAGCTCCAAGCAAAGGCCCTGGGTTTATTCCCCAGTATTGGCTAGGGATAGAGTAAATGCTTCCAAACAAGTTAGTCTTTCCTTAAAATAAATTTTTGCTGTCAGCCATTTGAAACAACAAAACATATCGGAAGAACATCAAGGAACCTCACATTTTCTTTTCTACGAGAGAGATTTGTTTCTGTTTATTTGCTGAATACTGTGTGAATTCATTTAAATAGAAAGTATTTAGCTTTAGTCATCAAATTACAGTTAAGTAAACAAAAGACTACACACAGTAAATTTTAGAGTTTACAACAGGCAGAATCACAAAGTAATTTTCTTTTTGAAGTTGGATAGTAGTACTAGGTAATATCCTTGTTTGATTATGAAATGATGTTTAATAAGGCTTAACAGTATCCCCTGTAGAACTGGTACAAGTTGTATTTATCATATTTTGATTATTGATGTACATTTGGCCATTTTGAATAATGCTGCTCTGAATGTGGATGGACAAGTTTTATGTGTTCATATTTGTTTGTTTGTTTTTCTTGAAATTCCACGTAGGAGTGGAAATACTGGGTGATGTGGTAATTCTGTATATGTAATTCCACTGGTGATTATTTTCTTTCCACAGTGCTCCAGCTAAGGCTGCAACAAAGGAGGACAAGAGAACAACTAGTGGACCAGGGCATCATGCCACGTAAGACTGCCACATCACTGTCATCTCTGGTGTGCCGTAGCAAGATGGACATGTCCAAGGAGACTGTCTGCCTCACGCACCCTTTCATTCAGCACACTTACCAGCTGAACTATCAGTGATGCTTGCATCCGCAATGTCAGTCTAAGAGAAACATGTTAAATACACTGTAAAACCTAGGGGCATGCAGTTTAAAAGGTGGATTTGAATTTTATATTGTACGAAGCCTTAAGACACCAAAAGTTCTTACCCAAAGTTTAGTATTTGTTTTAGTTTTTAAACAGTTGAAGTAAGCACACTAATGGAACTGAGATTAGACTTGCAAAAGTAACATGATAAAATTCACAACCTTGTTCTACTTAAATTTACTTAGTTCACATTAATTTATCTTTGGTGCTATATTGTGGTTTATATAATTAAATGTATTTCAGTTGTAAGACTGGTAACCATTCTATTTATAATTAATGAAATATTTCTGGTCCAAGTACAGATATTTCCTAAATAGCCCTAGGATTCATTCCTTTCAAGAAATTTTTTATTTGATTAAATTTTAGAATTTTTTTTACCTTTAATCACCAGTTCTGCAAGTTTTTTATATTTTACAGGAAAAGAATGTGGACTGTAGGAGTATTTAGCTGGGTTTTATCTAAAAATTAATTTTCTAAGCGTTACTTTGCTTTAAACTATTTGAAAGAAATGTCAAAATGAATTTATGCTTCCCAGTCTTATAAAATCATTAGCAGCCATCCTATAAATCATTGAATAGTTTATGATAAGGAATGCTTTTTCTCTGCAGTACCTTTTTTTCCCAGTGAAACTTTTTTCTGGATAGCTATTAATTGAGTGCCTAAATATTTTAACTCTAGTGTTGCAGTACTTAAAAACAGCTTTGGGCCAGGGGTTTTAGCTCAGTGGTGCCACCACCTGCCTTTTAAGGGCAAAGTCCTGAGTTCAGTCTCGGGTACCAAAAAAAAAAAGCAGCTTTAATATTCTGCCGCATTTCCCTACCATATTGATTTCTGGGAACCAATCAAACAAACACAAAGTTTGATATTTAATACAGCACTGTTTTGAGCTGGTCTCTACCCAAATCTTGCTGGACTGGGCTCCTGAGGGTCTTTACGGTACTTCAAGTATCAGGGCTGAAAATAACTTTACAGGTTGATTGGTCAAGTCTTGTCAGCCCAAGGAATCTTAGTCCTACACAATACCCCATCTACTCACCTGCCCATGGTTTCACTTGCAGGTTATTATCAGGCAGTGTGAGACATATACAAAACAGATTCTGCAGTGATAATTGATAGAAATTCTGTAGTAGGTCATGTTTTGGTCAACCCTGTTTACCCTCTTGCTGAGATTCCAGAATATTTACTACTTTGGCAGTTTTAGAGTCACTGTGTCTTTAGAGTGAATTACATTGTATGCTAGAAAGAACAAGAACCTCTCAAATACAGAATCCTGGATTTAAACCCTATTTTGACCACAGTCTAACTATATGACCTCAGAATTCACTCACTATCATTGAGCCAATCATCTATCCTAGGGCTAACTCTTAACTTTGCAAGGCTGTTGTAAAGACCAACAGCAGTAAACTGTGCTCGAACATTGTGGGTTCTAAATAAATGGTACCTCAGATCTTTTAGACATGAAGTGCTACATATCTTCATTTTCAAGTGTAGGTTATTTTTTGAATATTTAGGCTTTTTCCAGTATCTTACGTGGCCATTAAGAGAAAGTACCTGTCAAGGAATTAGACATTTCCCTGGGCAATGGAAATTTGTTCTTCTAGTAGGGGAGAGAAATAGTCTGATCCTGGGTTTGCATTGTCGTTATATATTCAGTTCCTATTTTAAATGTTCACTTGTTTTATTTGTGAAATACATAATTTTAATTCTGTTGTAACATTTAAGATTTCAAGTTTTGCACATTTGCTAAAGAAATGGAAATGGAGATATGCACTAAGAATTATCAATATAATACACTGTACACTGGGCTGAAGTATGTACTCCTTTATTTATACTGTGGAAACTATTTATGTTCCCCTCACAGCTCTGAAGAGCCCAGCGGCATTCCATGAACAGATAAAAAGCTTGGAACGAGCCAGAGTAAGAATTTTGCTTTAAAATACACTGCTTCTCTGCTTTATTCTAAAGTACCTATGGACAAGTAGCAGTCTTATTCCCAAACACATTAATAGAGATAATATAATGTGTCTTCCAGACACTCAGTGTAGAGAACATATATTCTGAGGCAGTTTTATTTTAAAGGTTTATAGAAAACAGATGACATTTGAATTTTGTTCTTTTTAAAACCAGTTATTAGTTTTGTAATTAAAGGACAAATCACACTTCTTTACTTTCTTTCTCTCAGGACATAATAGTTTGTAGAGACAAAGTGGGGGTGATTTTGCCATTTGTTACCCTGAAGAGGGACAGCCACATGATGTGCTAACACCAGATCCTTAGGAGATTCCCCTGCTTGGTCTGTGTTACCTCTGCATTTGACTAAGGGGAGGAGATGGGACTGAGTCAGAGAACATTGCTATGGTCAACTCCACTTTGTTCTTTGAGATGGCTCCCTTGTAGTTGCACGCCACAGTGGAGCTTATTCTTTTTTCTTCTGAAAGTGCCCTTATGCACATTTGTTCTCTTTTGTCTTCTTTTTGGGGAGGATAATTTCTATCATGCAAGATGAAAATTTCCCCAGAATAGCCAGATGTAGTGGTACATTCCTGTAATCTCAGAACTTGGGAGGAGGCTAAGGCAGGAGGATTGCCATAGTTTAAGGCCAGGCTGGGCTACATAGTGAGTTCAGGACCAGTCTGACCTACACATAGTGAGACCAAACCTGTCTCAACAAACAAACAAAATTTCCCAGAATGCAGTAATGATCTCTTAGAGTCTTAACAACATTTGTTATCTAAGTAGCTTTTTGACCTGAAGTATCATTTTAGATATTTAAATGATGAAATTCTATATTCATATGTCATCTTCAAAATCATGAGCTTTTCTTTTTTCTTTTGCCAGGTTTTAAAATAAAAGTCTATACAGAGCTTACTTATACCCACATATACTTTCATGTTCCCATAAGTTGTAATTTCTAGTCTTCCTCTCATACACTACAAAAGGGAAATAGTTTATTTAAACGGAGTACCATGAAGAAAATCTCAAACCACAATAATCACAAATAACTATGGTAAGAATTTTTTTTTTTTTTTAAGACTGAAAACTTCTTGAAACACAAGATCCGGAGTCGACCAGATCGTTCTGAACTTGTAAGGATGCACATTTTAGAAGGTAAAGGTTTTATTTCTACTTATGTGGGTGCATTTTCTGAAGAAAAGAAGTGAAGGTTCTACCACTTCTGTTTATTCGTATTTTAATAACTTTTTATCCCACAGACTGACATCCTCCAAATTGGATAGCAACATAAAGACGAAAAATTAAAATACTTGTGTTAGATATATCTCAAAAGGTTTAGTTCTCCAAATAACCAGTTGATGGGCTAGCTTTTCCCCACCAGCTAGCACCACGGATACCTCTCCCATACAGTTCTGGAAAGACATTTTTGGTCCAGAGCAACTACGTTAACAGTGAGGGACACACGTCCTATTCATTAAATCATGAGGATGTAGTAAACACAGTTCTAACCATAGATTTTCAACTACTTGGACCTCATTTATGTCTGCACAGCAGAAAAGACCACACCCAGCATCATCTTTGTTGCCACCTGCCTACCAAAGACCAGCCTGATCTGATCATTTTGGCATATACCCTTACCAAAATTATCTCAGTGACGTCAAGTCATTTAGGAGGCTGGGAGGAGCAGTTCCCAGGCTCAGGCCTGGATGTTTTTCTCTCTAAAAACAGAGTTCTCGAATGCTAGTGCCTCCATTATAAACTCCCTAGTCACATTTCCTTTCTTTGTTTTTCTTCTCTAATTTATTGAGTAAGACTAGGAGCCTGGTCTTGTGATAGCCCTGTGTTAATCCTTGAAAAGATTCAGGGAGATTTGGAAAATTCTTTAACATTTAGAGTCAGCTGTCAGGTAGAAGGATGATCTCCTCTCTCTGGGCCTAATGCTAGAATTTGGATTAGAATTAATATTACAGTGAGGCTGATCTTACAGAATATTAGACTGTAGTTTAACATGAAGAATATCATCCTAAAGGCCAAATATATCCTAATATGAAATCTAGGAGGTGACAAAGTTACTGTTACTAGAGGTGTTCATCCATTGGCCAGCATGCTGGACACCATGGCCCCAGACAGATGGCTGCCTGCCTCCTGGAGCTTGTGTTCTAGTGGCAGATAGAGATAACAAGCATGTAAAACCAGTGAATTACAGAATTGAGAAGCTCTCTAGGGGAATAAACAAGCTGGTGTAATAGAGAAAAGGCATAGGCTGACACCACAATAGGGTGTTGTATAAAGAAGTTTCAAGTACCAAGTTTGTTTTTCTGTGACCCAAGTAAGGTCTTCTCTGACTTGAAGAATCTATGATCGTGTGCCCATCTTCCTCACTCCAGGGGCAGACAATAAGAGGTATGTGCCTTTCTCCACTTTGGTTGTGTTCTCAGGTGTCCGCTGGACTAGAAAAGTTTTTCAGAGCTCCAATAGTAGGATAGAGCAGCTGCCAGCTATCAGGGATAAGTGACTCTTGCAAGAAGTAGTTCACTGCTCAGTAACACAGTAAATGGTTCCCTCTGTACCAAAACTAGGGATGTTTATGTAATAACAGTGCTAGCTATTTTAACTTACCATCCAACAGGCTGTGTTAATACAGTTAAAATCAAGCAAATACTTTTAGCTATCAAAAGGAATTATATTTGCTTTTATTTTTTTTAAATGAGTACCCAGCATTTGAGAGCCTAAAATTATATATGAATGAACTGTAATATTTTTAGGATATCTGTTCTCTAGTTGGAAATTTTGAAATAATGTGTATCATCCCAATTTGATAGGCAGGAGTCTAAATTATTTTCTGAGGTTAACAGTCAAAATCCAGCTTCAGCCTCATGGAGATGAGGAGGTATTAATACCAGGAACAGAAACATACCAACATAGCAAGCTATACTTCTTTACTTTGGACGTATTTTCTTTCCAAACGTGCTGCTGTCACTTGGGTGTTGTTAATGGGACAAAAACAGAAAGCTATCCTACCTAGGTCTTAACACAAACACTGGAAAATCAACCTGAGGTGATCCATCTAGTTTAATTCTCCCCACGTATCATCAGATGTGTTTTATCTGACAAGGCTGGAGACACGGTTGTATACAAAAATTATAAAAATGAGATGGGCTCACATTTTAAGTTACAGAAATGTACACTTATTTGCTAGTATTCCAGCCAAGGGGTCAGGCCTTCACTTGAGGGAAGACTTTCATGAATGGCGTTCACATCATTTGTTCTACATAGAGCCCAGCCCTTGTACATCATCAACAGCTTCCATTTATGGTGCGATAAAAATTTACAAGATACTTTGAAAAGTAGTTGGAGTTGAACATCTTAGGTTTTACAAGCTTTTTCCCAAATCTTTTATATTTGTTAATTGCTCAAATTAAATAGTGATTTAATGATTTGCCTTTATTACAGTTTCCCAAAGTGTTTAAGTCTCCTAGGAACAATAGTTTTTTTTTTTTAATTCAGCATTTTTTCATAACATTTAGCTAAACTATATGTTGAAACTAGCACTCACAACGTACATAAACTACCTTGTAGACAGTTGACTTTTGGCAAGTATACAGCTCGTCTGGTAGAGCGAGAAGTTGCATGTATGTGCTGAAGAGTAGCTTACCAAGCATAAGCATGCAGTTGAGCCTTGAGCTCCAACCAGGATATCCTACCTGAAGAATGCACACCATCAGTCAGTCCTGAGATTGCTTAGGGAAGGTTTCATTAAAGACTTTCTATATAACTTAGGAGTCAAGTAACTTTCAGCTGGAATTTGAGGTTGACACCATGTCATTATTTTTAAACAAATATAGATATTATTTATAAATAACAATAAAAAATGTTGAGTTGCCAGAAATACACATAATTGACGGAATAAAGTAAATGAACGAGTTGTGAGATTTACAGTAGTTTCCATTTGTTGTAGCAACTTCATACATTTTTAAATAGATGAGTTGATGCTTCTGTAAGCCATTAATTTCTATGTAATTGAATGTTCCCAATGGACACAAGGTTATGTATTCAGAAATAAACCCATATTATTCATTATGACGACTGACACTGAGGCACACAGGGATCGATCTAAGAATACTATGAATTATAGCTCTTCCCTTCGGGCCCCTGCAAAGCAGCTTATATCCTAAGAAGTCTATGCCTCCCTTTCTAGAAATTGACTGCCCATTGAAGCTACATATAGAATTGTAAACTTCTTAAGTCCTAGGGCACCTGTCTCATTCATCTTGTGTGTCCACAATGTCTAGTAAATGTGATGAATTTGACCCTTCGACTATAAGAGAATGATAACACTTCGCCCATTTTGGGCTTAAGTCATGTTAATTCAGGACTTTAGGCATCCATACTGTACAGACAATAATATCTGGAAATAAATAAAAATGTATCCTGGAGCATTCTTAAGAATTTTCTCTTTTAATAAAGATGTTTGGAACACGTAAATATGTTTAAACTGGTTGGGTTCAATTACTTGGCCTAAAACATCATTATAAAATAGAAATGATAATTCAAGTAGTAGTTAAAGCTATGCTTGCTCTTTTAGAAACATTTGCAGAGCCATCTCTGCAGGCTACACAGATGAAGTTGAAACGAGCTCGACTGGCTGATGATCTGAATGAAAAGATTGCTCAAAGACCGGGTCCTATGGAGCTGGTGGAGAAGAACATCCTCCCTGTGGACTCCAGTGTTAAGGAAGCAATTATAGGCAAGAGTAAAAGTTTACTGTTTTCTAGGAGAAAGGAACTTGGATGTTTTAGATAAAATTTAAATAAAAGGGCAACACCAATCATGGGTATTGTTTTCCAGGTTAATTAGAATTTGATTAACACAGTAATTGTTACTGTTATTATGTATTAGAAGATTAGCATCTGCTACCAATTCACAGATTCCTCTTTTGTGTCTGATGTTTTGATTTCATTATCACATTTTCTAGGTTAAATTACTGTGTTGTGCTGTTTAGTTTAATATTTTTACAAATTTTTCAACTTGATTCTGAAAAGATAGCTTATTCAGCATTAGTTTGAGGGAGGATAACAGATGTTTATAAACATATTCTTTAAGAAGGGTAGAATGTGTCCATCCCATGCTGGTCTCATCATACTTAATTACCAAGGAGTATGTCTTATTTCACCCTCCCTCTTGATGCTGGAAATTGAACCATGGGCCTGTGCATTCTAAGCACATAAACTACATAGAGCTACACCTACAGTCCTCTGTTTCTCTTTGTATTTCTCCCATAAGTTTTACCAGGGAAAAAAAAATCATTTCAAGACTATTACTACTTATTCTGCAAGCACTTTTGAAATATTGTTGTCCTAGTCTATTTTCCATTACTCTTGGGAACTTCCTATTTTGCTTTAGTTTGAAGTCTAAAGCTCAGTCAGTTTGTAGTCCTGAATCCTAAGTCATACAGTTGTCTGTAGTTCCTTTCAGTTTTGCTGATTGCCCCTCAGAGGTAAGATGTGAATTCAGCTAGGCTGTTACTCGAAGTGGGGACTTATGTACAGGTCCCCAGTGATGTGAGGTCTCCACTGCCTCATGTTCTTCAATGCTAGGATTCTGGGTTGGGATCCAAGCAAGGTTCCCCTCGTGTCCATAGCCAATTTGTCTGATTAAGTCTTAATCTAAACTGTTGGGTGAGTTTTCCTCCCTCTTTTTTTTCTTAGTATTTATTTACTCACCACACAAGTTTGTGTTACTCTGAAGCATCTTCCACATTTTGGATTTTACTGATTGCATTTGCATTCCAGGTATTGCTAAATATATTCCTGTCTTCTATACTTCCTGCAACTAGTACTTGGGTCCAAAGCCTTGATATCATCCCCATTTACTCATAGGTTCTGAATGGTCTCTGCTTCCATTGGGAAGTATGCTGTCAATTTTATTTTAATGTAATACGTGTAGATATTAATAAAGAACATGAAAAAGCACTCTTCTTACATCGATGAAAAAATAAAATTTCACAGAATAACTAGAGAACATTACACTGTGATAATAGTAAAACTGTGATATCGTCAAAATCATAAAAGAATGGACAAAATGTTGCTTAATACAAGTTGTAGACAAAAAAGACTGTTTTACAAAAAAATCTTATGGGAAGCAGTGTTTCTCCTTTTCCATATTAAGTTTGGTATCCTAAAGCGAGCGTGAATTAACAGTCACTGCTTTCTCCAGGTGTCGGGAAGGAGGACGATCCCCACACTCAGGGCGATTTCTCATTTGATGAAGACAGTAGTGATGCTTTGTCTCCAGACCAGCCCGCAAGCCAGGAGTCTCAGGGGTCAGTGGCGTCCCCAAGTGAGCCAAAAGTCAGCGAATCACTGTCTCCAGTGACGACAAACACTCCAGCCCAGGTATTGTCTTTTTGGCTGATACCTAAATAGAAAAGATGCCCCTTTTGTATATATTGTATAAACATTTACACCAGAAGATATATCTGAAAGTACTCAAAAGTAGGGTTTTTTTGTACAGTCTTACATATTATTTATGCGGCACATACACATTTTTGTTCTATGCTTATAACTTTTGGAAAATCTTTGCATGTTTGGATGTATTCTTTTATATATCACAAAATTCATCGTTTTTCAATTGTCCAACCATTTGTAAGTGTAGACATTCCTTAAAGACCTGGTCACATTCCTGCAACTAGGTTAAGTGAATTGCTTGCTAAATGAAGAATTGTATATTGTATGTACAATGTTCAAAAGAAAGAAATAGCTAAGGGAAACTCCAACTTTTATTTACATAACTCCTGCTTGTAGTACTGTAATGTGTAACATAAAACTATACAGTACAGTACAATCAGCAAAAATCACAAGTGGTGTTAAGTATAGTTCACATTTTTGTGTAATAGATCTTCAGATAAGAAAATTGGTTTTTTGTTTTGTTTTTTGTTTGGGGGGGGTTGTTGTTGTTTTGTGGAACCAGGGATTGAACTTAGGACCTTGCGCTTGCCAGGCAGGTGCGGTGCCATTGAGCTAACATCCCCAGCCCAGAAACTGAAATTCTGTACCCATTAAACAGCTCCTCCCTTCCTCTCTGTCCTGCTGCTGTCGCACCATCTTTCTACTTTTTGTCTCTATAAACTTGACTACTTAGATACCTCATGAAAATAGAATCATACAGTACTTTTTTATTACAACTCACTTACTTGCTTACTGTGATGTCAAGATTCATTCATGTAGCATATGACAGGATCTCGTTCCTTTTAAAACCAAATAGTATTCCATGAGTGAGTGAGTATATATACATGTGTGTGTGTGTCTCTCTCTAAATACACACACACATATATAGACATCTGTCTAAACATATTGTTTATTCATCTTTTGATGGACAGTTGTATAGCTTCCACCTTTTAGCTATATTGAATAATGGTGCTATGAGAAGGAATATGCAAAAATCTCTTCAAAACGCTTTCATTTCTTTTGGAAATATATTCAAAAGTGAAATCACCAGATCATATGTTTTGGGTTTTGTTTTTTGATTTTGCAGTACTGAGAATTGACCTAGATCCTTGGGCATGCAAGCCAAGTACTGTACTACTGAGCTACATGCCCAGCCCTTATTGTGAAACAATAAAATTACCCAAGCAGTCTTCAAATTTGTACTCCTCCTGCCTCAGCTTCCACAGTAGCTGGGATTACAAGTATGTGCTACTGTGCGTGACCTACTTTTACTTTTTTTTTTTTTTTTGAGGAACTGCCGTACCATTCTCTATAGCAGTTGTATCATTTTACAGTCAAGATGGGTTCACATTTTCTCCACAGTCTTGCCAACAATGGTTATTTTCAATTCTCTCAATGGTAACTATTCTCAGGATAATATCTTATGGGTTTGATTTGCATTCCTCTCATAATTAGTGATGAAGAGCATCTTTTCATGTACTTTTTGGTCATTTGTATGTCATCTTTGAAGAAATTTCTTTTTAAGCCCTTTAGCACATTTAAAAAGTCAGGTTATTATGGCCAAATTACAGAAGTACTTTGTATATTCTGGATAATGACTCTTTGTCAGCTATGATTTAATATTATGTTAAATATTCCACTTACATTGCATAGATCTGAGGTATTCCTCTCATTCCATAGCTTGACTTTTCACTCTTGGGTTGTATTCTCTGTTGCAGTTTTGATATTTGATATGGATGTTTCTCCACCCTAACCCTGTCAAATCATTTTTATCATGTACATTTGGAGAACATATTGTCATTAACTTCTCTGTATTAAATATTCTAGTATAAGGAATCAAAGATTTTTATTCTTTTGATCATATGATTGAAACATATTCTTGTAACTTATCTTAATGTTGGAGAAAAGTAATCCTTAAGATTGTAAATATGTTGTATGGTTTTTTGGCTTTTTGTTTTGGCTTTTGTTTTGGTACCAGGGATCGAATTCGGGCCCTTGCATTTGCCAGGCAGGCGGCAGAACCACTGAGCTAAATCCCTGGCCCCTTTTGTTTTTTAATCAACTACAGAGGTAAACTTTACAATGCCAGTGAAGTCTCTGAAATTCTTGTATCATCCAGAAGTAATAATAGTTTGCATTTTGGCAAATTTGTACTTTATAGACTTTGTCTATGCATCTCACTCAATGGATATAAAATGTATTTATCTACCTAAATAAAACTACTCTCATATTTTCCCATAAGGAAAAGGACCTTAACACATTGCTTCTCTTTAGACATTGAACTCCTAGATGGCCAGGATTTCTCTCCCATTATCTCAGTAACTTCACATGGAATACACAGGTCCAGATGACAGCAAGTACTTGTCACCTTAATGAATGAGAGACTACTTTTGCTTGGTTTAGAATTGCACCCCAAAATATCAGTCTCATCACCTTTAAAATAGTCCCTATAAGCGAAGGTAGTAAAAACATCTTATCTTTAGGTGTTGAGATTCTTAATCTTTAAAATAAAAACTCACTGAGTTTTATAAATTCAGTTCTAGTTCTTGTAGACCATTCTGCGCGCTGGATAGTGAAAGACTAGTGTATGTCTGGGTTTAGATACTTTAATTTTCAAAACTTAAGGACTTATAATCCCAGCACTTGGGAGGCTGAGGCAGGAGGATCGCCATGAGTTCAAGAAAGCCTGGGCTACATAGTAAGACCCTTCCTCAATAAATACACAAAGTTATATCTACATATAATAAATTAAGAAAACAATGACATTCAAGATTTATTTTGCTTTATTCCAAAATGCTTTATGACAAATAGTCTTCTTAATTCTTTTTTCAGAGCAGATAGCTCCCTGAAGATTAGGTTCTACAGAAAATTATCCATATATGAAAAGGCCTCCCCTCTTCCCCAAAAAAGAATTAACCTGTAACATGTAGGTAACAAACTAATTTTTCAAGCACTTCTCTTGAAACCTAAAATGCTAACGACCTCACAATGTTAGGACAAAAAAACCTTTGAAATAGATATTTCTGTGTGGTCTGTGTAAGACTACAACTTTATTCTTGGATTTGTCTATTTTCTGTTCTGATCACAGTACAGATAGAAAGGAATTTATCGAAGTATTAGTGGTACACATATCACAAATTGGAGCTCAACTTATTTTATGCAGAAGGAAATCTTGAACAATACTAAGTAGAAAATCAAGAACAGCCAGCCATATGTGATACCAGATCTCTTCAATCTGGACTTTTTTCTCAGTGATTTGTTAAGCCCTTTAATTAAACACTCCCAATGTTTAATGGTAAGCATGATTCAATGTGATTTTTGTGCATTTTCAAAGCCTAGCAGAACTAAAAGGAACTTTGTTGATTACTGCCTGTTTTCAGGAAGGTAAGTTTAGGAGACTGATAAACTAATTTTTTCCTGTTAGGTCAAGTAATTTTCCAGTGTATGACCTCTTGCCAAATAATACAGAAACCTTAGGTTCACAGCAGCAGCATTCACAATAACCAAAAGGCGAAAGCAACTGAAGTCTCCATTGACGGATGAATGGATAAGCAAAATGATCTATATATGCACAATAGAATTCAGCTTTTAAAAAGGAAATTCTGCAGTGCACTACAACATGAATGAATCTTGAACATTCTAGTGAAACAAGCCATCAGTAAAGCACGAAAACTGTATGATTCTACATATGAGATACAGTAGTTAAAATAATAGAAAATAGAATTACAGTTGCTAGAGGCTGAGAAAGAAGGGAAAGGGGAGCTGTTGTTTCATGGACACAGTTTAATTTGGGAACATGAAGACATCTGGAGCTGACAGTAATGATTTTTGCAAAAAAAATGTGTGTATAGATGCATATATACTACTGTATACTTAATAATTGCAAATTCTCACTATTAATCAGGTAATCAGTTACTATACTGTAGATTTTACTATTCAACAAGTTATCCTAAAAAATGAAATATTTTTTGTAGAAATAAGTGATCCATGCTAGGTGGCACATTTTAACAGAGAAGGAATTTTACATAAAACATCCATCTCTTACCCATAAAGCATGGTTTGGATTCAACTCATTCATCATTCATTTTGTCTGGAGACTTGAATATGGAAACTATATTTGAAGAATAATTAATTTTGAATTTTTATTTGTATGTGGCCTTCTTAAGAACTCTGCTGCATCCTAAATTTAAAGCACACCCACTACTTTAGTTTTAAAAGCTACAATATACAATTTTGTTTTTAAATATCTAGTTTTGTTCCTCAAGATTGCATGAAGAACTTACCAGAGAATAACTAGCCCTTGTCAAGTGGACCGTGGGCTGCAGAAGAAAGGAACCTATGCAGACCCCTGCATTACCAAACTTTAATCAGCTTAGGTATTTGCTCTTTTATTTTTCCTGTTGTAGCAGAACATTTGTGGTACTGGGAATTGAGCCCAGGATCTTTGCAGGGAGCCAAAGGCTAGGCTCAAAGTTAAACCCTTCTACCTCAGCCTCTTAGAGTTCTGGGATTATAGGGGTGCACTGCCACACCCAGCTTGTAGCACAACTTTATTAGAAACTGCTATTAAGTGAAAAGTCAAGTCTATAAGATTGAATTCTCTTCCTTTGAGTCTCGTTTGTTGTTTTAATAAAAATTAAGTAATTCTAGCTAGATGTGACAGTGGATATCTATAATCCCGGCCCTCTGGGAGGCTGAGGCAGGAGGATTGCAAGTTGGAACCAGCTGGGGCAATTTAGCAAGACCCCATCTCAAAAGTAGAGAGGAAAAAAAGTTAAAAGCATTAAGGATACAAATCAGTGCAGAGGTCTTTGGTTCAGCCCCCAGGTTCTATAAAAGAAATAAAGACCTAAACCTGTAGTAGAAACAGTCATCGATTCCAATAAGACAAAGTCAAGTCTGCACCGGCTTCTATTAGAAAATAATTCTCAATTGTTTTGAAATTAAATTTGCATAGTATATAAGGTGAATGCATAACAATTGAAACATATATACATAATATCTTTTTAAAATTTTAACGTATTTCTCAGTTTACTGTGGAATAAAGCAAGCATAGTGGTACCTCCATTCATGAACTTAATTCTTTCCATGTTGCTGGGCACAAACCGAATTGGATGAGAACCAAATCAGTTTCCCATAAGGTCAACATTGAACCTAACCCCACTATGTTTGATTCAGTTCTCATCCAGTTCAGTTTGCAACCATGAAGTTCCTAAACGGGCTGGATACTCTTAACCCTTTTTGGAAAAATACTGTTATTTCAGAATTACTAGTAAGGATTTAGATTACTTTTGTAACTTCAGCCAGTAGGAGCTTAATACCTAAAGGGAGTGTTATTTTTTCATCCTTCCTAAGGCACACTAAAAAGGCTAACAAATTGTAAACAAGAATTTAGATATTTATAATCGGAATTTATCTTCAGATTAGATAAGGTTAATAATCTCTAAATTTCGGTTGCATTACTCTTGCGTTATCCTGGAGTCTGGTTTTCTGGGTAGCAGAGTGACACTGAAGAAGAGTGAGTAAGACCAGAGCATCAGGAATCAAGGCGAGACTCCGGGCATTACAGCTGTTACCACATCCATACTTATGGATGTTTTTTCAGATTATGAACACTTACTGCTTTCTGTCAAATTCATCAATGCTGTCAGTGGGTAAGGCCTGTGCTGGTAAAATAACTTACCCAGGTAGAGTTCAACATGCAAATATTTGTTTCTTCTTTGTATATAGGTTATATAATATAATAGCCAAAGAATGTTTTTTTCCCTCTGTGAAAACTGACCCAGAGATAAGTGTCCTCATATCCCAAAAATATGCAAGGTCAAAGAAGACAACAACATCAGTCATATCCCATGAAGAAGTGACTATCTCTCTCCCAAGGTACAAAGTTTGGTTTGGGTTCGTCGAGGAACCAGACATCTCAGGCCTGTTGGAGGACAGAAATCTGCCCAGAACATGGGAGTTGAGTCTCTTGGATGAATCCTCTCTCATGTCTTGTGTTGGAAATGAAATTGAATGCAGCCATCTTAGTATTCACAAAAACTACTTAAAAGCTGAAATCGGTGGCAAAAAACTCAAGGAGAAAGCTGAGTGGGCATGCACAGTGAGGTGCAGGCTCGGGCACTTACAGGCTTGGCTGGGCTCCAGACCGGGACCTGGCTGTGTGAAGCCACAGGACTGTCCATTCATCAATTAGGCAAATATTTACTCAGTAACTGTATGCGCCAACCTTCATACTTCTTGCTGCTGCAAATAGCCCTCTGAGTTTTCAGGTCATTTATTTTGAGGAGGAAAACATACAGTTTGCTATATTAAAACCTCAATACTTCAAGAGAGCGGATTTTGATTGTTGGTATACTTTAGAAGTTGTTTGAGGAAGTGAAAATGATAAAAAATGACAATTTTCCTTGAAATAAAGCTGATAATGATCAATGCCAAATAATAAAAATACAGAATGACAGCGATACCTATTTCCAATAAGTAGATGCTTTAACGTTAGTTTCTAGTGAGAATTGTTAAAACCTAGTAAAGCTTTCCATGCCTTCCTTTGTTAATCTATGACTCCAAATTGAGATTTGGTCATTGTTGATTTGAGCCTGGGAAGAAAACAGTTTCTCATTTTAAGGGAGGTGGCACTGTCAGTGAAATAAGTCAGTCTTACCAAAATGTAGTCTTCAACTTCTCCTGTTGCACAGAATGGGGGGATGTGGTTAATTGGAAGGGCTATTCAGGTTCGGGGATGGAAGCATAAGTGTCAACACACGCAAGGACTTGTGAGCAGAGGGACCCTTCACCAAGAAGCCCTGCCGTGGGAGCAGGATATGAATAGAAGATGCATCCAGCTCTGTAGCAAATACTAAGTACCATGCTTGACTTAGCTAGGGTTAGTGTGACCTATTTAGCAAAGAAACTTTATAAATGTCATGTATTCTTTTGAGCACTTTTATGAGTCTTAGACTTTTTTCTGCCAAAAGAGCAGTTATGACCATGTTTCTGAGAAAACACTACAGTTGAGTGGGTCCAACCTTATTTAGCTTCAGCTACTCACTGTTACAGGGGCAAAGACTACATTATTGGCTCCACTGAGGTAAACCACGTTATCCCACCATCTGAGTCATAGACACAATAACGTATTTTTCATTTGTTTCCTTTCTAATGAACTTTTTAAAAATGAGGTCATTCCCTTATAATTCTGGTTTTTCTATTTTTACTGTCATTGATTTCACAGACATTTTCCTTTTCTACCTCTTCCACCAGTTTACTTCAGTGTCCCCAGCAGTTCCTGAATTCTTGAAAACTCCTTCAAATGTGGACCAGCTTCCTACAAGGTCCACAGCTCCTGTTCTCCCCACGAACACTGTATCTTCAGCAAAGCCAAGCCCTGCCCTGGTAAAGGTGGGTACCTTGGGCTACAGCATTGTATGACTTGACTTGTGACTGTCTGAACCTGTAGGCGAAGACAGAGGGGTATAAATTGCCCAACCTGGCTCTTAGCCTGAAGCCTTGAAAATTAAATTGTGGAAAACTTGCTGACCCGGTCCTTAACGTTTGAAATTGCCTCCTTCAGCATATGTCATTTCATCCTGTAGTCCCCAAAAGAGGGTACAGAGTTTGGCCTGTATGAAACTGCTGGGCTATGCAGCAAGGCCTCAGGAATCTTCCTGTCGCCAGCGCACTGTTCTGCCATTGGGCCACTGGATGAAATGGAGGAACAGTAAGATGTTGCTTCAGTACCACACCTGTGGTCCGAAAACCTCAAAGACAGCCACCTGGGATGGCAGCACTGTTCTGGGCTTTATACACAGGACCGAGCTCACTGATATTCTAAAACAAATTACATGACATTTTTTAAAGGGTTTCGAGAAACAAATAATGGTTTTTGATTTAGCAGATGTGGCCAAATAAGGCTTGGATTGTTCTCAGATAAGCTTCTAGTTTGTGGCACTGTTCCCTATATTTTACTTGGTTAAAATGATTTAGAATAAATCCCAAGGAAGAAGCAAAGTTCTAAAAGATGGTATTTTGAAGTTCTTAAAACTGTATCTAAAATTTCTCAATGCAATGGGTGTAGAGAGTAAACTGAAAAATAGTGTCTAATGATCACACTTGATTTCAGAGGTGACTTTTACTGAAACTAGCAGAATTCATAGTTTTAGAAGTAAAAAAGGACAGAGATAGCTTCTTACCACTGTTCAGAGATGGAAACAGGCCCAGAAAAGTTAAGAAGTGACGAGGCCAGGAAGGACGCCCCGTGTCCTGAGTTCTAGTGTAAACTTCTTGTTGCCTCTTTCTAAGGCCAAGGCGATTCCCTCAGTTTAGCGTGATGCATAATCCTCTCCTGGGTCTGTCCGCTAGAGCTGTCCTTTGTCCTTGACCTTCCAAGAAAGAAAGCTGTCAGTGTAACAGGGTTTACGTATCAAGACACCTATCGGCATATCTCACCATCTTCCATTGTTTAGCGTTGGAGCCAAAAAATTCCAGGGAGTGGGAGGGGCAAGCAGCAACAATACAGTAAAATCAGCTCTTCTCTCTTCTTTTAGCGTATTCAGACATGCACCAGTAATGGCAAAAAGAACTGCCAGATGCCAGTCTTTTCTCTGCTGATCCTGAAAACTCCTCTCCCTGCTTCTCCTGTTCTCTAAATTTCTGCTGTTTGCTGGTGTCTTTCATTGAGAAAGTCTTTGATTCTACAGGAAGCAACATTGATTAGCAATGTGAAATTCAGGCATAGTGTAGGGAATCCTAGGACTATGCAAAGATAAAAAGAGAGAGATGCTCATCAAGGAGCAGGTAATTCAGCTTTTCCATAAGGAAAGCTATGTCCCATGCTCACTTACGAGGAGAACAGACATGTGCAGGCCACTGGGTCATAGCAAGATTCAGCGTAAGGAGTGCTGGCTTGTGTGTGTACGTATCCTCCCATAGCACATTCCTTCCTGATTGTGGCTGGGTCTGTTGTTTCATCAGTGTGTAACAGTTATTCTCAAACCTCATTTTGAATATAAGGTATCGCAGACCCTGTTTCAAAAGAGTGGAGTAAAATTTATTGTTGATAATAAACAAATGAAAATGGCCATATGAATATCATGAGATTGCATAAATAAGCAAGAATGTTTTCCATTAGTGAGATGTACTTAAAGTGCCTCATCATTACAGTGATTTCTAACCAACACATACATTTATCATTCTTCTATTACAAAAACACAGATATTTTAGGGTTAAATCTGTACTGAGACCACCTTCACTGCATCAGACACTATTCTGGGTAGTAGGAGTAGATGAAGCAACATACAAAATAGCATAAATTCCCACCCTTGGGATAAAAAGCATGATAGCATGGTGAAGAGTCACGTGAGAATGGAATTGCTGGGAAGTCAAGGGGAGGTGCTTTCTGTTTTAAATAGATCCTCTGCTTGTGTCACCGGACCACTTTTTGGATGGAGATCCAAAAGGTGAAGGTGCAATCTTCATTGCACCTCAGCGGGGGGAACTCATGAGCCAGGCTCAGGAGAGAGCTCCAGGATTAGACAGAAATGTGGTCTTTGGATATGGAAGACAGTATGATCTGACCAGAGATGGCCAATGACCAGAAGTAAACCATGCAGCCAGGACCAGCCAGTGACTGGAGACTTTCAGGCCTGTGAGAAGTTAAGGCTTGCTACTGCTACTGAGAAGAATAACTGCTAGAAAGGTTTGGGCTGGTGCTACAGACAGTAGAAGAACAAAGAGAAAAGTCCAGAGCAGGTAAAGGTGCCATTCACCACAGGGGACAGTGGCAGCCTTGGCATAGGCATGTTCAGAAGTGAACAGTAGCCATAGTGGCAGACTGCATTTTGAAGGATAAGCTGGGAGGGATTGCTGACCTGATAGATATACTGTGTGAAGGAGTCATCATCAACCAGTTACTTTTTTGTTTCTAAGCAATTAAAAAATCGTAGTTGCCAACTTCTGTGACAGAGGAGCATACCTACAATGTGAGATGCACAGGAGACACCCACTAAAGGCAGCTGGGTGAAAGAGCCAGGCTCGGGAGATGGCTCTAGAATTGGACAGAACTGCAGCTTGAATTCCACAAAATCCAGTAAAATCACTTACAGTCTCAGTGTAACAAAAAAGCATTACAGTGCACCCTTGACTTAGGAACTCAGTTCATTCTCAAGGGCTGGTTGTAACTCAAGTTGGTCAGTTGAAGGCTGATGCTCCTCTTCTCAGGCAGATCTCTGTCCTTACAGAGACATTGGCCCAAGATTTCTCCTTAACCCCACACAGGAAAGGATGTTGTAATGCTCCTTCCAGAACTCTTTTAGGGTTAAATCTATACCTGAGACCATGTGGAAGCACAAGAGGCTGACGTTCAGGTCATAATTCAAGACTTTATAAGTTAAAAACTAAAATTCTGGTTGTAACCCTAATTGTTTGAATGTCAGGCCAGTTGCAACTCAAGGGTCCACTGTACAAGAATCAGCTCATTAGGCACATTAGCATTTTGGGCAAATAGGAAGGGCCAGCAACGGAACCTGAGTAAAAGCAGCTAGTATGGTAGAAGAATGGAGCCCAGGAGCCAAGGGAGGCCTTTTCAGAAGGGAGAGGTCGTATGTGTCATTGCTGCTGTGGGTCTGTTAGGAGGAGTGCAGGAGCTCTTGCCAAAGCAGTTTCTCTTGAATGCTAGAGACAAAACTTAGCTGGAGTGGGAAGAGAGAGCTAGAACTGGAGGTGGCGTCACAGAAAGCTTGTTTTGATGACCTCTGTTGGAAAGGATCGCGAGAAAAGAGCCTGTAGCTCAACTAAAATGTCGAGGTCAAGAAAGGATATTGGTGAGCTGATAGGACCCAGGAGAGGAGCAAAGGTTTCCACAATAGTCACCATGTGTGGGCGAGAGAACATGGACTCAGGCAGCTGGACCAGTAGTCCATCTGCAGCCACAGGAAGCAAAGCCACCTACGAACATTGAGGAATAGACAGGCACTGCAGGAGGTGGGGGCAGATGTAGAAGCTCAGCTCAGCACTCATTAATTTGTCCAGTGTTTAGAAGACAAAGTTATCAGTTGACTGGGAGCATGGGGTGAGGTACTAAGGGCTTGAGGAGAGAAGGAAAGATAGGAGGTGTTATTCTAGAAGAGTGGAAAATAACTGGAATAAAAGTAATGTATTAGGGGCCAGGGATTTAGCCTAGTTGTCCTGCATGGCAAGCACAAGGTCCGGAGTTCAATTCCCAGTACCCTCCCCAAAAAAGTAATAGGATGGCTAGTTAGGACGGATAAGCTCTCGAAGGTGGTGATCATGAGTTTAAAGACAAGCTTAGCTGCATGGTTTTGTTTTCCTACAGCACTCTTAGTGATATGAAAACAGGCATGGAGTAAACCAACAAGAGCAATCTACTCCCACCCCAGGGACATGTGGTACTGTCTGGAGACATTCCTGGTTGTCACAGTGTGGGGTCCGGGTGTGGCTACTGGCACCTAGTGGCAGAAGGCCAGGATACTGCTGAATATCCCACCGTGCTCAGCACAGCCCCTAAAAGTGTTACCAACTTCAAAATGTCAGGAAGAGCCCCTGTAGAGGAACCCTGAAGTAGACAGAGAACCAGCAGATGGTCTTTCCAGGTCAGTTGGGCAAAGGGTGGGTAGTGCATGTGAGTGGACCTTGGGATGTAGTCAGGTAGGAGTAAAGTGAGGGTCAGTGTAAAGGTCGTAAGAGAAATGGACTATACATCTCGGTGGCATCAAGTAAGTGCGCAAAGTGGCATCCTAGGTGGAGTGAGTTGGTGGTTGTCAGATTAGGGTGCTAGGAATTGACAAGATGCAGTTCGGGGAATTTTAAGATCTAGGTTATATGGGCCGGGATTTAGCTCAGTGCCACTGCCTACTTTATAAGTGCAAGGTCCCAAGTTCAATCTCCACTACCAAAAAAAAAAAAAAAAAATCTAGGTTATAACCTCAGCAGTGAGTGGCTGAGGGAGAAGATGAGATATTTAGAGGAAATGGAGTCAAAGAACTGAGAGACCAAAATGTTGGAAGGATTGTGGACGTAGATTTAATTAGCATGAACAGTGACAAGTTAGAACAGTGTTAGAGAAAGGAAGGAGGGAGTGGGCTGTTGCAGTACTTAGTAAATTTAGAACTGAAGGAAGATCAGATGCCGTGGTCAAGTTTGAGAGAAGAACTCTCCCATATACATTTACTTTTTACACATCCTTATTTACAGATGTTCAAAAAATGTGGTACTAGTTAAGTGAATTGCTATTCCAGTGGTGTGCTGGTAAATGTGTTGGGGTCAAAGGGCAGGTGATTGCCTTTGCCAGTTCCCATGGTGTAAATATTTGTATTGTGACCAATTTCCATCTACTCATGTGACATCACTGAATGCAGAGCTGGGAAAAGATACACATGATCGGTTCTCGTGACTTAACTTACTGGCCCAGAAACTGTTTTGTAATGCAGCCGTAGAAAATCGTGTTGCACCATCATTCTTGTATGATAAGGGAAGAATTCACAACATACCAAATGAAGAGGGAGAAAGGCACATCTCTAATAAGCATATATGCCATCATCCCGATTATGTTAAACGTGTGCACAGGAAGAATGCACAAAAGCTTATTTCTGTTCTACATGCTGTGGTGATTTCGGTTTTAGGAGATTTTTTGCACTTGTCTAATTCTTTGGAATAAGCATTTGTAACATAATTAGTAGCATGATTGAATGTCAGTAACTACATTTCATTTAATACTTCTCATCTTTGCTGGATGGCTGTTTTTTCCAGATAAAGTTATCCTATAATATGAATACTGATAATGTAGAAAATTAATAAGTTTTGTGATTCACAGTCGTAAGACAAGGGATGCCTGGTGTCCAAATTTTAAAAGTAAAAATGTAGTATTTTTGAAAAATGTTAAAACTTAACCTGATATTTAAATGTTATTTCCTTGGAGACAGTTTTATATTCTGCTTTATTCTTATTGGAAGCTTTTTTTTTCCATATTCTCAATACATTTTTTAAATACTACATAGAGTGAAATATACTTAATCTTTGTCCTATTGTATATTTAGTGTATGAACTTGTTTTTCAGTAGGAAGATATACATATAAGCAATTAGCAGTGAAGCCACAGAGGAGACCAAAAGTCAATGTTTGTTGGATTTGAATAGATAATCTAGGCTGAGCGTCTTTCTGTACCCTAAGGGGACAATGCAACAGGAGATTTCTTGGTCAAAATAAGTACACAAATGTGTTTGTGGCTTTTTTAAATGTATTCAGTAAATTGCTTCCAAAGTAGCTGCACTGGTTTCTGCTATTTTCAAATGAGAGACACATAATAGAATCAATTTCACAGAATGACATCTCTTAAAATACTTCTTTCCCCTCTCAAAAACAGCAAAGCCATCCTAAGAATCCGAATGACAAACACCGCAGCAAAAAGTGCAAAGATCCCAAACCCCGGGTAAAGAAGTTAAAGTACCACCAGTACATTCCACCGGATCAGAAAGGTGAAAAGAACGAGCCGCAGATGGACTCCAACTATGCCCGCCTGCTCCAGCAGCAGCAGCTCTTCCTGCAGCTTCAGATCCTGAGCCAGCAGCAGCAGCACTACAACTACCAGGCCATCCTGCCTGCACCGACCAAGTATGGACGGGTCAATGCGTGTCTGTGGCTTATACTGTGGTTTTTAGGAGAACTTACTCGGATGTGGTTTAGGAGAACTTACTCGGTGTGTTGATCTGTCTGTGCTCAGTGGTTACCTTCATTCTCTTGTTAGCAGAGCTCCCTGTACAGTGTTTAAAGTCATGTAGTAAGGATAGCCTGTGTTCCTATCTGGGTTTTGTCCTTCAATATTGGTTTTGAGCTTTTATAAGCTAGAAATGCCTTTCACAATTATTCATCCAGGAAAGAGTCACTTATTGTATAAATAATAATGGTTGTTTTGAGAGAAGCATGAATATGTACAAAGAAGAGAGATGGGCATAAAACAGGGAGTAGTCAAGGAGAACTGTGTAGAAATGGCAGGATATTTCCAGTAGTAGAAGGCTTGGGAAGCCCAGGGCATGAGGGAGCAGAAGGGTAAGCAGTACCTGTGCACTAGATGGAGAGAGAAACCGCCTGATTGAAAAATGGCATTGATGTTTTGTTGAAAAGAAGAGAAAACTGATTAGAGCCAGTGTCTGCAGGGACTTGAAGTTGGGCAGAAGACTTTACTAAATAGAGAGTGGCGTGTCTCAGAGTATGGTGGTTACGTGGAAGGACTGAACTGCAAGAAAGAACAGCAGAATGCTGGCAGTGAAGGACAGTTTGGAAATATAAGGATGAAAAGACATTAATTATGGAACAAAGGACCAAAAGGTCTGGCACCCAATAACTATGGAGAAAGAAGAGGTTTCCCAGAGTTTGAGCCCAGCCATGAGTGATCAGAGTTCTGTCACTGCATTCATAGTAAGACGTCCATAGCTAATTTTAGTTATGTAAAGAAAGAAATGTCTTGATACACATCCCCAAATGTCCTCTTTTTGGAAACTCAGATTAACAAAGATCTGTCCTTTCCTTCCTTCACTACCGAAGAGCAAATACGATCTGCATCTGACACTAGAGAAGAAACCCTAGAAAAGATGCAAGGGCTCATTATAAGGAAAAATTACTCTCTGATCAAACTGTTCAGTTATGGTCACATGACACATAGAAACTACTTCTGTTTCCTCCTGGTACTTTAAGCCCTCCTCCATTGGTATGCCGTGCATTTTTTTTTTTTTTTTTTTTTTTTTTTTTGTACCCGGGATCGAACTCAGGTCCTTGAGCTTGCAAGGCAGGCAGCGGAACCACTGAGCTAAATCCCTGGCTGTACACCGTGTTTTCTAAATGCAGCAAAGGATATAAATGTACTAAAAACTTCTCTGTGAAGAAGTAACTCCTCATATATCAATGCTTATCCATTTTTTGTCAAGATACAGATATTGTGAGGAAGATTAAACCTATTAAGTACATCACAGAGCAAGCCTGAGTGTGCTATTAGCATTGGAAAGAACTCAGGGAAGGCCACAGAGTTATAACAGTGTCCAAGACAACTCCCACTACTTTACACCTTCATCCAGGGCCTAGGCTACACCCTGCACTGCTACCCTCCCTAGGTGCTGGACATGAGTAGTGAGAGGAGCCACAGCGGGAACTGAGTCTCACAGTTATTTATGATTTAGAATGCACCGACACATGCTTGACACTTTACATCACCATCAGCCTCCCTCCAGGTCTAGGAAAACTCAGTGTTATTGATCACTTCCTAATGAGGAAACTGTTAAACTGAAAATCCCAGGGAAGAAAATTAGGCTGTGGGACCAGTTTTGCTGAATTCTACTGGCCTTGTCTCCCTGGAGGTGGAGGCCCCAAGACCCTCTCTCTTCCTCACTCACTTCTCCACTACAGTCACTGCCCACTCCACCCACCCAAGTGGGAAGATACACAAACAGAGGAAAGAGCACTTATTTGTGTGTGAGTATGTATTATTTTACCACCTAAAGACTGAACATAAGCCTGTCTAGTTTCCAAATCACAAAAATCTAGACTTTTGCTTTTGTAACATAGTCATCTTTATTCAAATTCCATTATAGAAAACTGACTCCTGTAGTACCCATAGCAGTAGTAAAAAATCTATAATATGCAGCCCTGTTGTACCGTGAAAAGAGTAAGCGACTGGGCTGTGGTTAAACCCACCTTGGCCACACACGGAAGATGGTAGAAAGCCCCTCTAGGCCTCGGAAGTCCAATCTCTCCTCTGCACAATAATCCCACCCATGGGCCACCTCCTCTTTTTCTTTCTCAATCTGGGTGAAAATGAATTGTTTCTTGGTATTGTGAAAGTTTAATTATAAACACTAAATCATAGTCACAAATATTGTAGAATCACAAATGAAATATTGTAGAATTTCAAGTAAAAGCATAAATAGGAGAATTAAATCACGTGTTTTCCAGGGAAAAGTCACTCACAAGGGAGCAAAAGGTGATTCGGTACAGGGTCTACTATTCACATAAAACACATGTGGTATATCTGTGACATTAAACTGTGGGAAGGGCAATTTTAAAAATTTGTCTAGCAGACTCCTTGGTGAGAGAGAGGGACAATAATGAATGAAAAACAGGCTGAGAAACTGATTTAAAGAAAATGTTTTTATAACTAACATGAAATGTAAAGGTATTTTTGTTTTGGGTGTTGCGTTTTTGTTTTTGTTTGGGTTTGGGTTTTTTTGTTGTTTTGTTTTGTTTTGTTGGTACTGGGGATCAAATTCAGGACCTTGCACTTGTGAGGCAGGCAGTGGAACCACTAAACTAAATCCTCTGCCCTAAAGATTGTATTTTTGAAAGGAGTGTAATGATACATCCTTGTCTCCAAACTTTAAAACACTTCATCTTTAAGATACTAAGTTTAAAGACTCCAAGAAATGAACACGAAAAGTTAGTGGTCAGTAAAGCCAGTATTGGCTACTACTGCAAGGCTTCTAAGCTCCTGGGAGAAAGCTCAACCAGCTGTGAAATGACATTGTCACTGGAAGCGTCCCAGATGGGAGAAGTTGAGGCAAAGATCTGGCTTGACATGGAGAAGAGCTTAATAAAATGACACAGTACCTCACTTTAGATCTTGACAGCTAATGCAGCAACTTCTTGCAAACGTACTTTTCAATTTGAGGTGTAACTTACATACAGCTTAAATCATAAGTGGAAAATTGCCAAATAAATACAGCCCTGTATTTACCAGCCAACAAAATGGAATACTATCTCACATACCCTCCCCAAAGTCCCCTCTTTGTGTCCTTATTTCTGTCCCCATAGATCAGTGCCATTTGGTTAATTTCAGATATATGCAGTCTTAACCTGGCTTCTTTTGATGAACATTATAAGATGCATCCTTACTGATGCAAACAGTAGTGGTTAATTTTCATTTCTAGTCAGCATTCCATGTCTAACTATATCCATCATCCTCTTGATGGACAGCTGTTCTGCTTTTTTTTTTGGTTTTGGTTTTGGTACCAGGGATTAAACTTGGGTCCTTGCACTTGCAAGGCAGGCCACCGAACCACTGAACTAAATCCCCGGCCCTGAGTTGCTTTTACTTAGGGATATTATGAGTATTGCCGTAAGTATTCTGTCTCTTTGGTATATATATGTTTTCCTGTCATGTCTACCTAGGAGTGGAATTGCTGGGTCATAGGATAGGTACTTTTTTTCTTCAGTACTATTACATATTCATCTCACGTGAGTGTCCCAAATCATATCTCTCCTAGCAGCGACAAGAGTTCTGGTTGCCCCAAATATATTATAGCAGTTCTGCTAGATGGAAAGGTTATTTTGTGATGTGCCTTTTCATTTTCCTCAGACCTAAGGAGGGTAAGCACTTGTTTGCATATTTATTGACCATTTGGATATACTTTTTGTTTTCCTTACCCCATCTGTTCATTTTTTTCTTTCTCTTACTGATTTCTAAGACTTTTATGTCTTCTAGGCATGAGGCCTTTTTCAGAATATGTATCACCAAATACCTTGTCCTCTTTTTGTGGCTTGACTTTTCACATCTTTAAGATGTCCCTTTTATTTAGTGTTGAATCCCGATTAAGAAATTTTTGCCCATCCAAAGACCATGAAGGTATTTTCCTAAATTTTTTATCCTGTTTTCTTATAAAAAGTTTTTATAATTCACATTTTTAAGAATGATGTAAAATAGGACTATTTTTTTTTTTGCTGTATGACTGTCCAGACCCATTCACTGGAAGGAGCATCCTCTTCTCACTATTTGGCAACATTATCTTCTGATAATTCAACAGCCATGCATCCGGAGGTTTACTTCAGGATTCACTGCTTTCTTCCTTTGTCTATCTTTCTGTCCTTGTATTAGCCCTACGCCACTGTAATAATTGCACTTGTAACACATTAATACTGGGGTGTGCACTTCCAGGCTGCTTTCCTTCACAGATGTCATGGCCATTTTTGGTCCTTTGCATTTCCACAAAGCTTAGAATCACCTCTTTACTTCCATCAAACAAAATCTTAGGGATTTTATAGGAATCTAGTTTATCTGACATCTTTACAATGTTAAGTCTTCCAATGTATAATCATGGTCTTCTTCATAAGCTAAACAAACTGTTGAGAAGCAATATCAGACCTAGAAATTATGTTATTATAAACTAATTTTCTTTTTCTTCTGAAGAAATGACAAAAATAACAACAGTGGAAATTCATGTTTGAACAATGCCACACCCAACACGCCAAGACAGAATACGTCTGCTCCTGTGAGAAAGCCAGGACCTCTGCCTTCTAGCTTGGATGACTTAAAGGTGATAATTCAAGTAGAGATATTCATCTATAAGTACCACAAAAATGTCAGCAAATGTCTAGGTTTGTCTATTAGATGTACATGGTCTTCAGTGACATTCAACTTGAGCAACAATGTGGTAGCCTTTATAGAGGTACTTCCTTTTTATTTCCATACTTTCTTTCAAAATGACCACTAATGGCTCTGTTACTCTTATGTACCTTATGCAGGCACCAGAGAAAAGGAAAGATCACATTCACTAATTCTTATTACAGTGTACATTAGTGATTGTCATCAGTCTCTTACTGTGTCTTACTTATGGTAGGTATGTACATATAAGGAAAAAAACATAGTATGCACAGGGCTCAATTCTCTCAGCAGTTTCATGTATCCACTCGAGGCCTTGGTGGGGGCGGGACCACAGTGTACTGTCAGTTTCCAGAGAGTTATGAAGCTAAGAGATCTGAACTGTCTGTACCTCCAGGTATCAGAACTGAAGACAGAACTGAAGTTGAGGGGTCTGCCAGTGTCAGGCACCAAACCGGACCTCATTGAACGTCTGAAACCCTACCAGGAGGCGAACAGCAGCGGCCTTGCCGCTGGCAGTATTGTCGCAGTGTCATCATCAGCAATCGTCACCAGTAACCCGGAAGTCACCATGGCATTGCCAGTCACAACACTTCATAATGCCGTGACTAGCTCAGTCTCCACTTTCAAGGCAGAATTGCCATCTGCTGTGCCTGGCAATGTAGCCCATGTCGAAAATCTTCATTCCCCACTGCCAGTCTCACCATCACCTTCTGAACAGTCTAGTCTCAGTACTGATGACACGACCATGGCAGACACCTTCACTGAGATTATGACCATGATGTCTCCCTCACAGTTCTTGTGCTCATCTCCCCTGAGAGTGGCCAACCATGAAGACAGCCTGAGCCCCACCAGTAGCACTCTGTCGAACCTGGAACTTGATGCTGCTGAGAAGGATCGCAAGCTTCAAGAGAAGGAGAAGCAGATTGAAGAGCTAAAGCGAAAACTGGAACAAGAACAGAAGCTCGTGGAGGTTCTGAAGATGCAACTTGAAGTTGAAAAACGAGGGCAGCAGCAGCACCGGCCACCAGAACCCCAGCCCAGCACCCCTGCTCATTCTGCCAGCACATCAGACCAGAAACATGGTAGCATCGGTTCCTCTGTCAAGGACGAGGCCTTGCTGCCTGACTGCTCCAGCCCCCGGCAGCCCATCCAGGCACCCAGCCACCCTGTAGGCCAGCCCATCTCTACCAGTGCCCAGACCCTTGTTGCCAAAAAGGCCATAGTCATCAAACAAGAGGTCCCTGTGGCCCAGGCAGAACAGCAGAACGTAGTCTCACAGTTCTATGTGAGTTCCCAAGGACAGCCACCCACTGTTGTTGCTCCACCCCAGGCCTTGCTGACCACACAGACTGCTCAGCTGCTGCTCCCAGTGTCTATCCAAGGCTCCAGCGTGACGTCAATGCAGCTTCCAGTAGGCAGCCTCAAGCTCCAGGTGGGAAGTGTGTCTCCTGTCTTTACCTAACAGCCAGTGATAGAATCTGCCATAACTGCATCCACTACAGGCTTCATTTTTGTAGGAAATGTGTGTTCATGTGGAGTGGATATCCAAAAAGTGAGCTAGATTTGGTGGTACGCACTTGTAATCCCAGCTACTCAAGAAGCAGCCAAGATAAGATAATCACAATTTTGAGGCCAACATGGGCAGTTTGCTGAGATCCTGTCTCAGAAATTTTAAAAAGGTCTGGAATCATAGGTCAGTGGTAGAGCAGTTGCCTAGCATGTGCTAGGCCCTGAGTTCAAGCCCCAGGCCCCTCACCAAAATAAATAGCACTGTTTTCATTTTTAAAAAATTCAGAAAGCACAGGTGATTTTTTTATTTCTGTCACTTACCCTTCAATGCACAGTTTCATATGTGTAGCCACTTGAGACCAGTACTGTTAGCATAATGATAACAGCTGCAGCATTGAATATTTATGTGGAAGGCATAGAGCATCAAGAACTTCGGGCTTGCTTTACATCACCCTTTCTTCCCCAGAAAATGCAAGTAATGTAGCCCATTTCTGGGTAAGGAAACCGAGACCTAACCTAGTAAGCCAACCTTAGTCAGTTCCCCAAGGACAGAGCTGACATTGAAACTCAGGTCTTCAGAGTTTGCTCTTAAGCCCATTCTTACATTTTGCCTTCCAAATTTAGTTTTATTTAGTTTTAGTTTTCATTATTGTGAAACTACCTCAACTAAGGAAAATGTGACCACAGTTTTAGAAGTGAAAGTATAATTGCAAGAGATAAAACACAGGAGAGAAGAAATTCTCACTTGTCTATATAACCTGCTTATTCACCTTAAGTTGTTCTTATGTAGTAGAATTATGGTAAGATTTAACCAAATGTGCAAGAAACCACTTGGACCAGTGTTTTTCAACTTGATTTTCCAAATACCTTTAACAGCTAAGAGAAATCATCTCACTCCTGGGCTTAGGAGGCCATGGCCTAAAGCTCCTCAGCAAGTGCAAAAACTCTAAACTCCCTTCTTTTGTCTGTAAAGCATCTGTGAAGTTGAAAGTCCACTTTGTGTCTTTTTAAAAATATTTTTGATCCAAATGTTACATTAGAGTTGATAGGAAGTATGTTGTGTCTGGGCTTGTGTGTACCCCGCATGTTACTGGCTGTCCCCAGAGAATATACAATATATGATGTAGCTTAAAAGCAGGAATTGGACAGTTGAACCTCCCACATTTCCTGGTTGCTATTAAATGTATTATAATACCAATTATATATACTTATTATACATTTTTATGAAAATCTTAGCCGTGTAAGGAATTGATGAGGTTGATCAGTGAGGCTTAGGTACGGTTAAATAGGAGCACAAGTTCTGCTGTTCTGTTGCACAGTTGCGTGAATATAATAGCAGTCATGTACTGTTTATTTCCCAAAAATAGAAGAAAGAATTTGGAATGTTTTCACTTAAAGTCATAATAATAGGGCGCTGGGAGTATCGTGCAGGAGTAACAGTGCTTGTCTGGCATGTGTGAGGCCCTGGGTTCCATCCCCAGCAGCACGTCCCCTTCTCCACAAAAAAGTTTGAGGCTGTAGATATATTTAATATCACTTAAATATTAGTATAATAGCAGTCATGTACTGTTTATTTCCCAAAAATAGCACGTCCCCTTCTCCACAAAAAAGTTTGAGGCTGTAGATATATTTAATATCACTTAAATATTTTAGATTGTGTACATGTGTCAAAATATCACACGGGACCCATTAATATAGGATCCATTAATATTTTTAGTCTTATATTTTTTTAATTGCTAAGGTTCGTAACCTCTGATTCCAGCTATGCTTCTGACAATTACATCAATTTCTGTTTACCTCCTAGACTCCAGCACAAGCAGGAATCCAGACTCAGCCTCAGATTGCAACTGCTACGCCAGTCCCCGCTGCAGCCCTGCCCTCAGGCCTGGCCCCCACTGCACCTCAGAAGCAGGATACTTTCCCACAGCATGTGGTCAGCCAGCCTCAGCAAGTCAGAAAGGTTGGTAGATGCTCTTGAAGCCAAATGGCTGTCACTTGCTCACCCAGCTCTCAGGCATCTTCCCAAGACTTATGTCCAAGATCTACCTGCCATACAAAGAGCCCAAGGTCAGATGCCATTTATTTGGGATTGAGAAGGAGCTCTTTGTTAGTAAAAACTATTGAACCTAAGAGTGAATCCCCTTTTCCAAGTACAGTGTTCATATACTGAATTTACTGAGATTTTAAGTGTCCTGTTCTCTGAGAAAAGATACTTGAAAATGAAAAAGATACTTTGGACGTTGCTGTCCCACATGAGATACTTAATCTGTGTGTATTTATGAGAGCCTGTGGTCACGAGCCCAGAGACTATCATGGCAGTGCACCACCGCTGCCATCCTTGGCCTCGTGCAAAGTTCACTTCCACCAGGTGTTCCCTTCCTCAGACTCGTCGTCCTCCACAGCTCAAATTCTGACTTTAAATAGCCCCGAAGTTAACAAAACTCCTTTTCATCCAGTAGATGGAGCTATGTGCACATCTCTGCCAAAAAAATCTTCAGGCCTCAAAAACAGGTGTTCCTATTTTTAAACCTTGAGAACTAAGTCCCAGAGTTTTCTTCTTAAATATAAAAGAACCTAATAACTAGGTGCACCTGTCTCTGTGCCTCAGGGTAGTCTGAACTGTGTGAGCTAAGGCAGCCTCAGGGACAGACGGGGCACATGTGTTCTCATTCAGAACTCACTCTGCCCTCAAATGCAGTGCAGAAGGAAACATATCTGTATATGAGTTTCAAAATTGCTCAGTTTAATAATAAATATACTTTGAGTTAGGGAGGAGAGGAAAATAACAAGACAGATAAGTAAGGGCTTAGTCACTAAATCTCAAAATACTAGTATCCAGTTTAAAGAAAATAATTTTTGTGAAATGTAAGGAAATTCAACTTTTTCAAATAGGAGCTCCTCATCCATAGAGGTAGTACTGTTGGGAAGGATGTATATATACACACACATATACTTCCATGTTTAAGATACATGTATGATACAAATATAGGGGTTATCAATCGTGTAAATAAATTGTGTTTTGTTTATAACCGGCTCTTGCTATGCAGTTCAGACTGGTCTTAAACTTACTGTACAGTCCAGGCTAGCCTCAAATTCTTGGTGATCCTCATGCCTCAGCCTCCCGAGTGCTGGGATTGCAAGCATGTACCACCACACCCAACAGAAATAGAAAGTCTCTGAACAAACAAAGCTCTGTGAAACACAATACTGTTTCAGCAGTATGGCCATATATTTATAAAAAGGGTCCAAAAACGTTAGGCTCTTGATGGAGCTAAACAAAACATTCTAGCATTCAAGTGGAAGAAATTCTTACCTCTGCCTAAATAGAACAGAAAATAGCCCTTCAGAGGACAGATGAAGGCAAGAGAGCTAATGAATGTGGTAGGTACTGGACCAGAGGTGTGATTTCAGGAGCTAGAGGCTCTGGCAGAATGCCAGGGGGACCATGAGGGCATGGACTAGGTCGGCACAGAGCAGAAGCCCAACTCTAAAGGTTTCTAGGAAGTAGAAAAAGTTAGTTGGCACCATTCATCTGAGTATAAGGAGAAAAACTGAAGCAAAACCAAGAACTGCTATTCCTCCAAGGCTGTGGATAGGGAGGAAAGGAGGAAACTCGGTAGGGAACATACTGAGTGTGACATCCAGGAGGATGATGTGGATATACTGTGGCACTTGGGAACAAGGCTGGAATAGAGAGGTGGGCTGGGGATTATTAACTTATCCTAACTGTTAAAGCCACGAGTAGAAGAGGTCACCTTAGTGAGGAATGTCAGGAATCCAGCTATCATTTGAGAGGAAAATGATGAGCAAACATTCTTCCCAAGCGGCATCTGCACAGCCACCAAAGACAAGTCACAGGGTAAAGGAGCCACATATGCTCAAATTATAGAGGTGGTATAGAGGTGGACAAGCCAGACGCAGCCCACCGCCTGCTTTTGTAAGTAGCTTATTGGCACATAACCACACCCATGTATCCATATTATCTGTGCTGCAGAGATGAATACTTCTAAAAGGGACATGGCCCACAAACTTTAAATCTAGTGCTGTATGCCCCTTCACAGAATTTTGCTGAGCCCTGATAAAACATGGCTTTCTTCATTAAGATAAGCAAAAGAACACATTGATGGAGAAATGCTTATTCATTATAGGTTTTCACAAGTTCAGCACCAAATCCAGTTCTTCCATATCCAAGACAATCCACTCCAACAGTCCAGCAGCCCTTTATTGCTAAGACGTCTACCAGCATTCTTCAGTCGAGAACCACCCCGCTCCCCTCCCTGCAAAATGGACCCAATACTTCCAGCAAGGTAAACTGGGGTATGCCATCAACCTGGTGCAGCACGCTTTCGGCTGGGGGTGACTGAGCACCAATACTGATGGGGGATGTAGTTAAAAGCACAGTGGCATCTCGTCAGGAGGAGCTCAGCTGTGGTTGTCAAACAAATGAGCCCTCCACACACAGGACGACCAGAGAGAGGGTCAGCCACAGGAGCTTAAGGAAGCTGTTTGTGAGTTCCATGCTTTAATCCTTGTGGGAAGGACATCAGATTTGAGTCGAGCCGGGCTGGAGCAGGTCCATGCCAAGAGCTGACACTTGCTCCTCTTCTGTGTATGACAGCCTAGCTCGTCCCCGCCACCCCAGCAGTTTGTGGTCCAGCACTCTCTGTTTGGGACCCCAGTCACCAAGACGAAAGACCCACCCCGCTACGAGGAAGCCATCAAGCAGACACGCAGTACACAATCCTCCCTTCCAGAGGTAAGTGAGGGCAGAAGCAGTAGTTGCTAAGGCTGGGTTTCATGTATCCCCTGCACATTTTGACCAGCCCTATACTAACTCACTTGTCTAAAACTGACTTGGCTAAGTAGAAACACCAACATAATGGCTAGGAGCTGTATATTTTAGCTAGTTATTTAACATTGAAATGTTATTTACTATAAATAATCCCACACAGCTTTCCATAGCAGTATAACCTGTAATAACTACTTATTTAGAAATTCAGGGTTTGGATTTTAACCTTTCCTTTGGGACAAGGAGTCATTCATGTTAAGGGCAGATGTGATTGTTCTGGGGCATGAATTTTATTGAGGTCCCTCATTTCTAAAGCCACCATTTGTCAGGCCATCATCAAAGTGAACTGACCTTCTCGTATGGCTGTCAGTGAAGTCTGCCCAGACCCTAAGTCCACTTGATCTCACCTCATCTCTTCTAGTTCCTGAAGCCCAGTGCACACAGGTGACTGCATACATTGGGCAAATGCACTTTAGAGGTGACAGATCTACACTTCTCCAGGCTTCACCACACTTAATGCTCACCAATGACCATAGCCTTGGGCAAAGTGCTTACCCTTCCTCTAAGCTTTCTTTCCTATTTCACTGGGAAAACAGGAGTAGATGCAGCAGTCCCAACAGGTGGAAGAGTTAAGAGTTCCTATTTATAGAAGCATCTGGCCCGTACAAAGTGCCCAGCAGTAGCAGTACTTGTCCATTCCCTAAACACTCCTCCTAGGCACTCTGCTTCTCTGAAGCTCTCTAAAGCTTCAAACTTAAATTTACTTTCAAAAATGAACTCTAGCCTCATAGCACAGGTGCTAAACATGACACCAGGGCACTTAGGGGAGCTAAGACTGGGCATTACGGCAAACAGCAGGCACATCAGCCATGTTCCGCCAAGTCACCCATTGGGGCCACATGGTAACTACATGCAGTGGGTCGTGCTACACACCTAAGGAGGGTCAGGGCCAGGGCCTCAGCTTTTTCCAGCAAGCAACAGACAAGCCAGTCCCCTCAAGCCAGGAGTACACATTAGCCACAGGGTGGCTGCCTAGACCTCCTCAGGAACCTCAGTGTGCATCAGTGGAAACTGGAAACTTGGACAGTGTGCACTTTGGTTCCTTCACAAAGGACACACAGCTATGCTCAGGGCCATGATGGACTGGCTGGCTGAGGAAGCAGTTACCATTTATGCCTTTTAATACTCACTTAGTGCCAAGGGAAGACAGCTTTCCTAGTCATAAAATACTTCCTTTATCTATGAGATAAGGGGTCCTCATCTATGAGAGGAAAGCCAAATTTCACAAATAGGTTTAAGCATCTGCAATAAAAATTGACACAAATGGTGTTCCCATGGTTCATCTGTTCTCTTAACAGGAGAGCAGGAATGAATTAACAAGCACTTAACTGTAGACTTTACAAAAATAAAAGGGCATGCATCCTGCCACACCAGGTTCTCACATGTAGGTTCATTCATACAGCTGCCTTGATTCACACAAAAAATAATCTTCTTTAGCCTAACACAGCCAGTTGGAAGCCCAGGTCTTTTCATGTTTATGAGGGAGACAAGTTCTGCGTTGGTTTGTGATTTTCAAATGGGCACTGTCTGTACTACAGTAAGTCCTCAACTTGCGAACTTTCACAGGTAGGAATAGACCTTGAATTACAAACATATACAGATGTGAACAAATCACAGAAGTGACTCACATGTCTGTCAGACACTGTCCCAGCGGTGCTGCCCTGTGCTCCCTGTACAGTGAGAGTGCACAGTAGGACAGCGCTCAGAGCCCGGGTGTCTGGAAGCAGGAGGAAAAGCAGTGGTGATGTGGAGGGGACTGCTAGGAAGTGCAAAGCAGTAACCATGGAAACAAAAAGTGACGATAATGAAGACATTGAATCCAGATGAAAAGATGGTAGGCATTGCTCATCCTTATAACATGAATTGTTCAACCATTGGCAAAGTTCGATAGAACAAGGACAAGATCATGAAACGTGAAGTCTGCTGTGCCAATGAGGTCAATAATAATATCCAAAAAGCGTGGTACAGTGATACAGGAGACTCAGAGTGTAGATACAGAGTCAGAATCAGCACTGAATCCCACTGTGCTTAATGCTTTTTCAAGAAAAAGCTAAAGGCCATTTGAAGACTTAAAAAAAAAAACTAGGTGTCAGACTTCCAAATGTTCTCCTGAACAGAACTCCTTTGTAAGTGGGGGACTCATTATACTTCTTTATATGCCACTGTGTGCCTAACTCCAGGAATTCTGAAGTTTTTAAAATACATTTTCTCCATCTTTCAACACTACTAATGGCTGAATAAGGCCATAATGGTTCATTCATTCATTGATTCATCCCACAAATAACAGCTCAAAAAAGCAGCTATATGAAAGTAGTCAGGGGGGCCAGGGATTTATTTAGCTCAGTGGCGCCTTGCCTTCTTTGCAAGGTTAAGGTCCTAAGTTCGATCCCTGGTACTGGAAAAAAAAAAAAGGTAGTCAAGAGTGAATAGAAACAGTCATTCTAGCAAGGAATATATACTCACAGAAGGAAAGTTATGTGGCATGAGTTTGCGCTTTTTGCTACTTACACTTTGAGGTCAAGTTAAGTGGCACAGACACTGGTCGAAAAACTATAATCTTTATGGCCTAGAATCTGTATAAATAGGCCTAGTCATATGACAGTCTAATTATTGAAAGCATCAAGAGAAATGCAACACATTACACACAGGACAAATAACTGTTTGTTAATGTCAACTTTCCATCAAAAACTACAGAAACCAGAAAAGAATGTTAACAGATTTAAAGTTTAAAGAATTTAACAGATTTTAAAGGGGAAAAGCTGAGAGACATGGTCACCCATACATCAGCTGAAAATATCTTTGAAGAATGAAAGTAAACTCAAGATAATTTCAGATGAAGAAAGCTGTCTTAAGTTTATAATGTAAATACATAATACTTAATAGAAAATGAGAGGAGAAGGAAGTACATGGATCTGTGTGGTTATGAAGTCCCTATTTTTTAAGTAGTGGTACCTTACGTAGCCTATGAAAACTTAATATGTATTATAATACGTAACAATGAGAAATACAACATATTATAGCTTCAAGGAACAACAGAAAAATTGTTAGGATAGCCAGATTGGGTGGTACATGCCTATAATCCCAGTACTTGGGAGTCTCGGCCAGAAGGATTTCTGTGTATTCAAGGCCATCCTGAACTACATAGTGAGACCCTGTCTCAAAAACTCAGAAAAGTAAAAATACAAATATATAAAAATACCAAAAACAAATTTTTGAGGACAAAAAAAACAAGGCAAAAAAGAACAGATGGGATAGTAGTAAACAAATAACAAAATGAAAGACCCAAATTTACCATATCAGTAATTACACTAAACACTAAGGAGTAAACAGTCCTATGAAAATGCTTAAGTTGTCAGAATGGATAAAAAGTCAGGCTCAGCTATATATTGTGTGATATATTTAAAATGGGTCTGCAAAGCCTTGGACATTTTTCCCTGGGTTGGATTTAATGACTCATATGTAAGGAGCAGAAGAGGCAGAGAGAGAGATGTCTGACCTCAAATACTAGGTCATACTAGGTAAGGCCTTGCTCTCCCTTGAGTTGCTGGCTCTGCAAAGGCCTATGTAGAGAGGCTCAGGTGGAAAATACCTTCGCAGTGACCTGTTTTCCAAATTATCAAATGATACATTAGAACTATTCTATAAAGTCCCTTAATGGCCCCAATTGCATTGATGCTTCTGTGTTTGTATGAAAGACAGCTAACTTGTTTTCTCCTTTGCTGTAGATTTCCAATGCACACAGTCAGCAGATGGACGATCTCTTTGATATCCTCATAAAGAGTGGAGGTAGGTCACAGGCCATCCTCTTCCCTCAGGTGTGCATCACCATGCTCAGCTTCATGACAGTTTTCCTCTAGAGCTCACAGCTTTTCTTTAGATACTGAGAAACATCTAAGTCAAAATCCCACTGTTTTAAAATTTGTTAAACTTAGGCCTTTAAAACAACTAACTATAAATGGAGGAAAAGCCATTGATTCAGCTACAAGCAGTAACATATTAGATTTATCCATAGATGTATCCCTGCTAAGTAGACCATCTTGAAGCAACAAAGTAAAACCAGATTTGCCTGTCATTGTCACGAGATGAGACTATTCCAATCCAGCTTTAATTCTGTACCCACCCAGTTGGACTATTGCTTTAGTAAATTTCAGAAGCAATGCTAAAGCACTTTCTACATATAATAGAAAGTTATAGATTTGTAATACACGGTATTCCAAAGAAGTGTTAGCCACAAAGTCAAGAATATCTCTGCCATAGCTTACATGTCTTTAAAAACAAGTGTTAAAGGGCCAGGGATTTAGCTCAGTGGTTCTGGTCCTGAGTTCGATCCCTGGTACCCCCAGAAAAGTTCATATAGTGTTGGGGATGTACCTCAGTGGCACCATGCCTGCCTCATAAGGTCCTGAGTACCAAAAAAAAAGTTCATATAAACTCAGAAAATAAAGCCAAAACCAAAAAAGAAGCAAGCAGATGATTCACCTTATCTTATAAAGGTTAAAGGAGCCTTACTAAGCTTTAAATCAGGAATTAAATAAGATGAAATGTGTCTTCCCAGAACTTTATACACAATGTATATGGCTAAACTGGGGACACAGTTCAACTATAATGATTTTTTTAGTGAAGAAAAAAGGATTAGCTTTTTCATAATGTCTGTGCACGAACTCAGGAGATACACACTACCTGTTCACTTCAAGGGTCTCATGCTGCAGCACAACAATTCAGAAGCCCACCTTATAGCCTTATATGAATGAGCATAAAGACCCAAAGACCAAATAATCCAAAACCATTGATTCCTACCTGGTGGGACCGAACTGCTTTCAATGCTTAGTCGTACTGTAAAGAACTGGGAGCACATCAGAATATAATAAATATATATGTTTATCAATTTAACTAAAATGACCCATCATCTTAAAGGCTATCAAAGATTATACCCAACTAACACCATTCTTTTTCTACCTCTAAGATAAAAGTGACCAGAATCACAAAATAGCAGAATAAATGTTCTAGCAATAAAAACTTTAAGATGGTAGTAAACATTTACTAGTTACTTTGTTTCACAGAGATTTCCCTTCCTATAAAAGAAGAGCCTTCTCCAATTTCCAAAATGAGACCAGTGACAGCCAGCATCACCACAATGCCAGTCAACACAGTGGTGTCCCGGCCACCACCCCAAGTTCAAATGGCACCACCTGTATCCTTAGAACCTATGAGCAGTTTATCTGCCAGCTTAGAAAACCAACTAGAAGCCTTCTTGGATGGAACTTTACCTTCAGCCAATGAAATTGCTCCACTACCAAGCAGCAGTGAAGACAGAGAGCCCTTCTCTCTGATTGAGGATCTCCAGAATGACCTACTGAGCCACTCCAGTGTGCTGGACCATTCACACTCACCCATGGAGACTTCTGAGGCCCAGTTTGCTGCAGGTACTCCCTGTCTGTCTCTTGACCTTTCAGACTCAAACTTAGACAACATGGAATGGCTGGACATCACCATGCCCAACACATCCTCAGGACTTACTTCTCTCAGCACCACTGCACCAACTATGTTCTCTGCTGACTTTCTAGACTCCCAGGATCTACCATTACCATGGGACTAACTTCACAGGTTGCCTGTCTCAGAGTTCATGAGGTTTCAGAACAAGAATTGAGAGGTCAGTTTTTAGAGATAGCTATATAGTTGCATTACTGCAATCAAAATATGTTGTCATGGATGGAAAGTCATAGCCTGGAAACCAAGTTTGAAAACATTTCACTGTATTTAGCAGTGAATTTCTGCAGTGTAATATAGCACAGGGCCTTCTGAAAAATACACTATCCAAGAAGACTCCTCTGTTGCTCCAGACTGTAGTAAAGAGTGAAAGAACCACCTTTTGACAAACATAAGAGTAATGTATGCAGGAAAATGACACTAGGATTCCCTTTAATCAATTACATTTACACCTGTGTGGTCACTTAATGGCCCTAAGAGGCAGACAGCTCCTCTCACAAAACAAATCTGCTGTGAGGGCTGAGAGAGGTCCCTGCACATGGCACTTCTGAGAGGAGCCTGAGCGCATCCCAGATACAACAGGGCCAGAGGCAGTGGCGAGAGCTGGCCAGTTCAGTGACAGCTACCAGCTGAAGAGTTGGGGTTCCATTCAGAAACCTATGTGATTTTTTTTGTGTTATAGTTTATTTTGTGATTTGGGAGTCTCACTTTAGATTTCCAAATTTAAGTGGAAGATATTTAACCATAACCAGATGTTATACACAACCCACTGTAAAAAGTCCAGGTATACTGATAACACTGAAAATTTTATTAGCAGCCCTCTGGGTGTATTAGATTGGTTTTCCTGTGTATATCAGACCTTTGTATGTACACTTTCATGTTGTGATCTGTACAGCCTACATTAATTAGGATAAGGAAATGGATACACAGTTGTCCTACTTCTTTTATCAAAATGCTTCTACAGTACTTGAGCCACATGCATTTTTTTCTATAAAAGACTTGCTGACTAATTTTCAGGTAACCAGACCCATCTCAAAGAATCAAGAAAAAGGTTTTAGCATGAAATAACTTCCTGAGCTAGGGAGGCAGGAGAATAAGAGGTAAGGGGAAAGTGTCATGAGCCCAGGACATTCCCACCCTGAGCACAGATGAGGTTGGCTGTCCTTTTCTGTCGCAGATCCCTGGTTCTCCTTTAGCAGGCTTGTAACTGGATATCTTCGCATACTCTGCGTTATCAGCCTAAGATTAAAAACTGGACATTTTGTTAGTTTTTTATATAGGAAAAAGTTTTCATGTTTGTTGAGTAGTTTCTGATGAATTTTCTAAAATGCCAACTATAAGGCTTCCTACATTATTTCAATTTACTCATTGACATATATGCAAAATGTAAATGAACAAAACTGAACTCTTCCAAAGGAGCATGGATATTTTTATTCAGTAATAATGCCATGCTTTCCACTTTACTGTTAACTTGCTTAAACCTTAGAGTCAGAGCAATCCCAGAGTCACTAATAGTTAATGTTCCAGTGATGTGCTGGCTGCACTGACCCATTGTTTGGAAAGAATTTGTGAATTGTTTTGGGGTTTGTGTTTTGCCTAAAAGTGATTTTATTTCCAATTTTTTGTTGTGTATAAATTTTACATGTGACAAAAAGTCTGCTTTTCCAGCATGAGCGTGCTGGAGCCTTTTACTAATTGACATTTGAGGCTCCAGGGGCTAACAGTGCTCACGTGCCTCCCAGACATGAGGCTGCTTTGCTCAGCAGTGAGTGGCTTAAGTGTTTAGACATTGGTAATCCAGTGCACTGACTGTAGCAACTCTGTTAACCAGAATACTGCCCACTCCCGACCAAGCCCAGCAGGCTTACTCTGCTGGAGGTGAATGAAGCCTCAGTCAGCCCCAGTGACACTGTCTCTCCAAGGCAGAGCTGCTTGATAAGGAAGGGGATTTTCCAGTGGGAGGTCTTGGCCCTGGGTTTTGGCTGAGGGCATCTGTCTGGGGTTATCAGGGCCATACTTAGAGCCTGTGAGCATCTGTTTATTCAGATTTGAATGGCTTATTAAATTAGCAGTAAATACCAGTGGGACTGCAGGGGCAACTGAACATGTAGTGCTGTTAACTTGTAAGCATAGATAATATTCTAGTGCTTGGGTCCCTTTATGGCTTTTTTAAGATAGGTTTTGAGATATGCCCTAGGAAGATTGCTCTCCAAAAACACACAATGCCATGTGAAGCATGCCATCTCATTGGCATTTCAGTCAGAGCAGGCTGAAGTGCCCACTTGGCACGTGGATTCACGGTCACCTCATTTTCAGAAATTGAAGAATCCTAGCCGTGAACCCACAGCTACCATCCCACTCACCCCATTCTGCATGGCCTCTTCACTGCCAGCAGATACCTGTGACGTGAGTGCTGCTCTCCAGGACCCACCCCCGTGTTCCAGGCATGCATGTGACATGACCAAAGACCAGACCCTGTCAACAAGGCCCTTTAACCTGACTGTACCTCGGGAAATGCAATGGGAAAGGGTGTGTTTACTCCACGTGACTTTTTGTTTAAGGTTAGTTTCACAGCCATTAAAGCACAAGTCAAAATAGCCAGTTGAATTTTCACTATGCATGTGTGTAGTTTAGACGTGGTACTATTGTGTATTATATTGCAGAGTATCTTATTGCCAAGAAAATAACTCCTAGAAATGTATTGTGTCACATCCCTTATTTCCCTGCATATTCTCAAAACATGGTAGTATTGATCTTTTCTTTGACTGTACATAGGCATCAAATCATCTTATTGGGGGTGAGATGGACAAAAAGAATTAAAGCTTCTAGAAAATTTTGGAAGTATAGGGACACGTGGGCATCTCATGCATCTTAGTAAAGCATGTATCTTCTAGGAAGCCTCTTGGGACAGCGTCAGCAGTGCCTGTTCTAGTGCTTTCCTGAAATGTTTTATCTACTTAATAGTATTTGCTACATAACTGTATACAGACATATTCTGAATCTGTAAAATTCTTTGCTCTGACACTGTTTGTTTGTTCCATATGAGTATTTTAGTAATACTAAGAGGTCTTGTTCAAATTTCCTTTTTAAAAGTTGCATGGCTCTGTGACTGGTGTGACTGACACTTACTGGCTTTTAGAAACTGGGGCAAAGGCAGTCTGGTGTTGCCCCAGAGCTGCATCTCAGGAAGGCAAAGTCATGGAAATAAGATAGTGCCATGAAGCAGGTAGTCAGCAGACACAAGTGACACGTGAGAGCACATTACCCGTTTTGTCAGCACAGCTGACCTACGCTTCCGCTGCCCTCAGCCCCTGATCATTCCAGGCAACACTTACTTCAGGGTCCTTTCAAAATTCCCAGGTAGGAGCTAAGCACAACAGCTAATAAAGCAGCTGTCCCCAAAAGTGAGAGGGCAACCTCTTTCCCGTCTCGGAATGGATTTATCCTTAGAGAAGAGGCACAGCACTTTGGCAGGGTTGAAGATAATTGAGAGCAGCCCACACTTCAGCGTCAGTCTCCTGCCACTTCCGCCGGCCCTGGTAGTGGCTGGCCTCAGGAGCGCCTGGCTGTCAGTAATGTGAGGAGCTCCTGACTCTGCTACGGACTGTAGAGAATGTAAAGAGTAGTGATTCAGTGTACTAACAAAGCAACATGGGTTAGGGAAACCAATTTCACAAATAACTGTTGCTATCACTACACACATGAATGCTAAATACCGGCACAAATTGACCCACTGCTCTATAGGACATAAAATAGCCCCAGATGATCCAAGAATAGTAACTGGAAGGTCAGGTTTACCAAGGAACATAGCTTACCAGAGCATACATGTGTATTTGGAGAGCATCCTAACTGTATTTCAGCTGATCTTTTAAATGATTACAGTTAAAACTGGAAAACAGGATGCAGTAATTTTTTTTCTGGTTCAAACCTTCAGTCATTACTCACTGAACAATCTTTCTTGGCTGCATTTTTTTTTTTTTTTTGGTAAATGACTGACTACTGGCAGTAAGCAGGTCCACATTTATTCCCCACTCAGCCTTCTTACAGTATCTGAGGAAATGCACCACTGCAAAGTGTTTCTACCTGAAATCTTTCATTGAAGGCCTAACTCAGAAAGCTGCACATGTTTACAAAAGAGCTCTTATCCTCCAACCACATACACTGCTCTGTGAATCATGATTGAAAAATGTCAGTTTTAATTAGTTTCATTCATAGGAAAATGGATACATATTGAGGATATACTCCTAAGTGAAATAAATAAGTCACACATGTGTAAATACCAAATAGTTTCTCTGGTGTGAATAAACTATAACAGTACATAAGATCCTAATGAGATAATTGACAATGTGAAATAGGAAGAAAGGGACTAAAGGTGTAGGCAAAGTGGGAAGGGGCGGGGAAAGCTAATAAGGGAAAAGAAAAAAATATGAGAAAATGAAAAAATGGAAATGAAGCGTTTGTAAAGGAGGAGAGGGGGTGAAGGGAGGGCAGGGACAAGGGGAAAAAATGAGAACCAAGACCTGTCATATAGGTACAAGACCCCAATAATAAATGTAACTATACTGTATACCTAAAATGTACCGGTTAACTCAATGAGGGAAAAAAAAAAAAAGAAAAATGGCAGTTTTGAGAAATAGGATGGCAGTCTGAGATCTACAAGATGCTGTCTAGAATCAAGTAAACTGTTATTGGAGATGTCAACACAGCCATAGTACGTAACAGAGCTTTATGCCAACTACTAAGACAAAGCTTTAACAAAGTTTAGAGACTCACCGAATGCATAACAATTACCTCTCTACATTTTGCTGTAAGGAATCTTAATTTGGTAGGAAGCAGAAGCATTTAGAAAAGGATTTAGTATCTACCAAAAGTACTTGACCTCAAGTAACCAATAGTAATGCAAAATGCTTTAAAGGAACCAAAGGCATTGCCAAGTATTTGCCAAAAGGAGGCACTTTTTGTTTAAAATTTGAGACTAATGCAATCTCAAAACTCAGTCCCAAAAAGGTATTATCCATTTAAAGTTATAATTTTCACACAGATGTAGATACTTCCCTGTTGTTTTTATGTAAAATAGTATAGAGTTGTTTTGTTGGTTTAAGGATAATACATATTTGGTAGTATTACAAAGTTCCTTTCTAGGTAGAAACTAGTTTTCTTGCTTGAAATACAAATGCAACATGATAGGTATTATATTCATTGTCACATTATGTCTTAGCATCTCACTTTATGAAAAAGAGAAAAGATACCGATCTTCAGAGCCCTGCTTGTTAAAAGCACTAGTTTAATAAACAAAAAGTTATGGCAATCGGGGGGTCC